CGCGAAATCGGAAGAACGCACGACCGGGGTCAAGGGCCACGCCGACAGGGGAATAACAGCCGGCTTGTGGACAGTGGAGGTTCTTGACGGATACGTGGGCAGTTGGATTCTCTCTTAGCAGAAAGTATGCGATGGTAAAGAGTGCAAGCGGTTGATTTGAGTTTTGTACGAAAGTGCCCGGAGATAGAGCCATGAAACGCCTAAACTTTCCTCTCAGTCGGACGGCAGAGCAGAAGGGGCAGATATTTTCAGCGAGGGATATCTCAAAAGTCCGACTTTGTCGGCGAGAGAACCCCGTGCGTGTTCGTCCTTGGTCGTTTTCGGAAACTTGGGGCTTTGTCTTGCAAAGGTTATCCTGTCATCAATCAACCAAAGGCTTGCAAGCGAACTAGGGACCCCGATCCATACCCAGGGGTAAAAGACGTTGCGATGCCGCGATGGTTCGAAGGTCTCCACTCCGTCTAAACCTTGATATTGCTTTGCCCACATTAAGCAAGGCTTTTAGCGGGATGAATGGGTGCCGAGACAAGCCTCCCATTCTCAAAGGGCCTGTTGACAGGCTTCTAGCGTCTTCACATAGAGCCTGCAGGCTAATCAGTGCAAGTATTTCATAAAAGTTTCTGCCCAGACTTATGCGGCACCAATGGAATTGCGTGATCGGCTGCCTGAGACGCTGATACGCATGTTCGGTACTGATCGCTGTGTGTAGGTATCAAGTTTTGCAAGAGCTGAAGAGTCCGTAACGCGCTCGCTTGAGAAAAGGGAAGGGGGTCCCGTCCATTTCGCACTCCAAAAGGCTGGTAAGTTGGCGACAGACGCGCGCCACAGAGTTGAGATGACGGGCTGCCGCTCGAAGATGGATGCATTCATCTTTCCACGGCTAAGTCGGGGGAACGCTTTTGGAAATCTGACACAAAACCCCACGTGGGACTGCGCAATTGCTAACGATATTCGGACTATGCAGTGGGTCAAAGTGCTGGGTACTACGTTCCAAAACGCCAAGTGTTGATTAAGGAGACCCTGCCTTAGTTCACATGCAACTCTGGCAGAGTTGGGTTGGCTGTCCAGTCCGTGGTACCCTAGGTGGTATCTCGGAACTCTCTGAGGCGTATCATCAGCCTCAAGGGAAGCCTCAGGTCTGGGAGGCTAAGCATTGCCTTACCCAGCTGATGTTAATCGCGCAAACTCAAAGCCATTTAACCGCACGTCTTTTAACGACTTACGCCCTGCCTATTAGGCACTCGTCTGGGGGCCTTGACCAAGTTCAGATGGCATCACGGACGTCTATCACACAATAAATAGAATGCACAGGGGCATCCGGAAGGCCCCACGTCCATCAACGACTTCATGACTCGCACCTTAGCCCCGTGACTCCATCAATGTAACGAACAGCCAATCCCGCCCAGTCCACGGTTCTGGTTTAGCAGCGCACTGGCTTTTGGTACAAGATGGTACCCATTTCCACCCGTCGCCCGCGAGGCTCGCTCGCGTGGATGCTAACCAACATCCATTGGCGTGCGGGTTCACGATGGCCTTCGATGCGGCAGTCGCATCTGTCACACTGACGGGCAGCATACTTTCGTTCCTCGCGACAACAGGTGTATTAATCTCATTCGCTCTCTACCATGAGCATCAGCGGTCTTTCCGCCATGCTCTCGTCCTGAACCTAACGTTAGCCGGTAAGTTCTGCCCCTCGGCCATTTCCAACTTGTAAAATGAAGAATGCGCACGCTGACTGCGATTGTCAAACGAAAAGAGTTCATCAACTCACTTGGCAACACGATTTCGGGCATCATCTACATCAAGAACAAAGAACTCCAACCGGGCGCAGCATGCGTGCTCAACGGCATGGTTGGCCAGCTCTCGGTGCAGGCGTCTGACTTCTCCATCCTCGCCATTGCGGTCGTCACCTTCCTCACTATAACACGGAAAACCTACATGCCGAATGCATCGACTTTCCGAAAGGTCATGATCTGCCTCTCCGTCTGGGTCATACCGCTCATCACCAGCACGACAGCGACTCTCATGGGCACCATGAAACCCGTAAGCGGAAATTGGTGCTGGATAACTCGAGAACGGCCCGATCTTCGATACGCACTAACGCACGGGTGGCGTTTCGGCATCATCTTCACCACGATTCTCATTTACCTCTACGTCTGGTGGTACCTCGGACGACACTTTCGCACAATGGTCAGCACATCTGATCCGTTGTATAATAGCGGAAACTCGAACGGCAACGTCGTCACATCATCGATACGGAAGAAGCAGGGATTCGAGTCAATACATACCCCCGAACTGGAGATGGACCAGTTTGAGCGAGCGAACCCGACTTGGGGTGAGCTGCCACAGTTCTCGCCGACCCAGCAAGGTCAACAAACGTCGCCTGTCGCCCCGCGGAGTGCGCCGGCTGCCTTGGCCAGAAGACCATCGGCCACTGACTTCGATGAAGACAAGGAAGTTCAAGTACAACCAGGCGGCAGGCGGCCATCAGCGGTTAGAATGGCACACTTCGCCGAAGACAAGATCGACGAAGAGCCGACAGGCGAGCAAGAGCCGGGCCGGAAGATGTCGGCAAGAATATCACGATTCGACGACCATGACATGGACCTGAGCCAAGCCTCCGAGGCGCGGTTCTCATACCTCGATCAAGAGGATAAGCTGCAAAAGAGCGCTTCCGGGGGCCCGTCACACCTTCAGAAGGACATGCTCCCACCGGCAGCAATTGCTGCCCAAGCGCAATTTGCTCAATACCGTATGGACAGCGGACCGCCGAGGCGGCCGTCGGTGTCCATCTGGAAGAAGACTCACAGGAGCAGAAGCTCTACATTATCGGCATTATCATTCAAGATGCCGGGGACCCGGGAAATGCAGTCCCGAGACTTCCCGACGAACCCGACCCTGAACCATGTCGACAGCAGAAAGAGCGCGCCGCAGAACGTGACCGCAACAATGATGAGCGACTTCCCCATTCGGACGCAGACGAGGAAAGTCGAGCGTGAGATCAAGCGCATGATGCTCCTCAACGCTTACCCTGTCATGTATGTGGTGCTCTGGATCCCGGGTCTCGTCAACAGATTGATGGAGGCATCGGGAAACGGCTCGCAAAGTCGTGTTTTGGCGGCGCTGCAGAGCTCAAGTCAATTTATCGGCTTGGCGAATGCAATTACCTATGGCTTCAATCAGCATGTGAGGCATAGGATAAAGGGCGACTTTTTCACATGGCTACGTCGAAGATGAACAGTTTATTACAAGAAAGAGCCGGAAGTGGCAGGACGAGTAACGAATCCGATGAAATAATACATTTTCAGAATACCCTATTAGTTAGTCAATCATAAGAATGATATCCATGGTTGCGATTCACAATAGTTTCAGCATCGCTTGCCTACCTGTCCCACTCAGCAGGCTTCTCAATTCATGACCGTAGACCTGAAGGTTTGTGATCGCCTGTCGTCTTTTGAACCACCTGAAGGTACGTTGCGAAGTTTCTTGACATGCTTGTTGAATATATGTGTAAATGTTGACTGACCTATGCTTCATTGCGAACTTATCAGTCCCTTTGTCTACCTTAAAGAAGTTAGAAAGCTCATCGGCTGAGTCAAAGCACCAATCAAATGTCACGTTGCCAGCAAGGCCTCAGAGGCAGACATGCGGATAATCCGTGAGGGAGTGAAGTGCAACTGTAAAAGATTTGATTTGAGCGAGAGTTTGACCATTTTAAAGTGTCAACCAATCCTAGCCCTCGTACTTGATAGGACTAGACCTGAGGGATTCAGGAAGTAACGAATCGGGCCGGTGGTCAACCCCGGGTTTTCTAAAGACCAGCGCGGGGTAATCGGGAGTTCTCCGGAGGGCTCGGAGACGGGGGTGGAGCAGAGATTATCTTGATAGAACGACATACAATCAACAGCTCTTCCGTCTCTTATCTACGCGCATAACACGTTGTCGGCCCCCGCCAGCCGACTTTGGACCGGTCGTTTGTTATGACAGAAAAGGAGCAAACAGTCTAGCCTGGGTGTTCATCTGTGATCTCAATCAGTGATTCAGCTCTAAATACAGTTGATACAGTTGCTGACTCAGTTCAAACAGGACTCAGTAATGACGCCGGTTTGTTCGCCTACGTAGCCCGAGGGTTGATCTTTCTGAATAGCTTGTGCGAGCTGAATCACTGTCGGTGTTCCCGCAGAGAGCTGAAAAGAGACCTTGTAGCTTTCAATCTTATTCACGCCTCAAAATAGTAGGTCAAGTCCTGGCGCGAGCCGCGAATCACTTTCAGCTGTCACCGCAATCTGGCGGGGTAGCTCAATCAGCAACCCCGCATCGCTGATCATCGAACTGAGCGGAAGCTTTAGAGAACAGACCAAGTATCTCGCATCGTACCGGAAGCAGGCCGCCACGTCACGGCAATGCTTAATCCAAGAAAAAGGTTCAGTCGGGAAGGCATTACGTATCGGAAATTGTGAACGTAATGAGCTGCAATTGGCACTGGACGAGGACCCGAGATACAACAGACGTCCTGATAAGAATGGAATGGCGGGATACGACCTTGCATGTCACCATCGACCGTGGGAGCTTGATAATGCAAGGCAAGAATACAAAAGCACCGTCATAAGTCTTGGCATGCATGTCAGATGAGGAAAACTGCCTATCTCGCTCTCTTTATCTAGCCAAGAACTCTTGTTTATCGATACCACTTGATCAAGACTCTATACCGGCCCGGTGGGATAAAAGGTTTCCTCGTCGTTCGGCCAAGACCATTGGCGTCTACCGACCACTTGGATTTGGATATCCTGCCGTGACGTCCGAGTCTTGGCAATATTTTGACCTGAGCTGTGGCTGATTGGTCTATTATCTCGGTTCATGAAGACCTCATTATCTACGCTCAGCGACATCGGATCTTCCTGAGCAATAAAGATGAGAGGTCGGCCGAGTTCATCTCATAATCTGACAATCTTTTAGGAACCCAGACAGAAGTCCCTTGCAGCTATCAGACCCAAGCGAACATGCTCTTGAGACAGTCTTTCTTGGGTCTTTTGGCCCTTGGTGTGATAGTCGAGGCATCTTCTAAGACGAAACAACATGGGTTGTTCAGGCGGGCAGCGAATATCACAACTTGCAACATTAACGAGGCCGCGCCCAAGGTCAACGCACCGAAAGTCAACGTCTGGGCTCCCATCTCCCCTGATGATAACCTCGCTGTCTGGAATTTACTCCACGATCCAGCAACGGGTCTGAACCTCACAGACCCCAACAATGCTACGATCGCGGACAACTATGTCTACTGGATCGATACTCTCCACACCAATAAGTCCACTGTCCTACCATACCTCGGTGGCACCGCTAGCCCGCCGCCAAAATATGCACGAGTAGTCATCTTTAGCGGAGGCTTGGAGGTCCCAGACTCACAGGAGTACATGGTCGGACCTCTTCCCGTCGGCAACGGAACCAAGGTGGAGAAGCTCGACTACATCTTCAACGGCGGCAGTGGTGGCAAGATCCCGTACAACAGTCGCTATTTTGACGGCCCCCGCCTGGTAGCCTCCGAGCCGCTACTCGTGTCTATCATGAGTAATATCTCCGACATCACGTCTGAACTCATTGGCGGAGTTTACTACGGCTTGAGTGATAATCGGACTACCCTCACTTCCACCAGCGGTACGCCCCTGTCTTATGATGGCACCCAAGCATTTCGCACGGTCATGTTTAGATATCTCAACACAGCGACATATCTTACGCCGCTAGACTTCTCCGTTATGCTAGACGTTACCGGCACAGATGCTTCACAGTACAAGTTGAGAGGCATCGTGACGAATGAGAAGTTCTTTCCTACAGTCGCTGCCTTGCGGTCCGCCTGGGACGCAGGAGAGCTGAAGGAGCAGTTCAAGCAGAGCCGGACTCCCGACTGGGGTCTCCTGGACTACAAGCCTGAGATGGGAGTTAGAGACCTCGAGAATAAGCTAGCGCCTCAAAGCCTCGAGGTTGGCGGCAAGCGTTACAAGGTTGACGAGGAACAGAAGTACATCGAGTACATGGGGTGGTCCTTCTACACCTCGTACTCTCGAACCCTTGGGCTGATGTACTATGACATCAAGTTCAAGGGCGAAAGGATCATCTACGAGCTTTCGCTACAGGAAGCTGCTGCCCAATATGCTGGTTTCACACCCAAGGCGGCTGGAACAGTCTACCACGATACGTACTACAGCCTTGGTACCTACCTGGGCACGTTGGTTGAGGGGTATGACTGCCCCTTTGGCAGCACTTTCTGGAACGTCACGCACCACGAAGGCAACTCATCTGTCGTCAGCACAGATGCGATATGCATTTTCGAAGCCGATGCTGGCTATCCTGTTTCACGCCATCGATACGGTAGTGGAAACGAATACGGCTTCAGTTATCTGGGTACAGTTAAGGCTTCGGCCTTGACTATGCGATCGGTAGCGACTGTAGGAAACTACGACTACATGTTCGACTACTCTTTCCACGTTGACGGTAGTCTCGAGGTTACAGTCCGAGCATCAGGATTCCTGCAATCTTCATTCTACTACCCGGACCAGGAGGAGTTTGGTCCCAGAATCCAGGAGGCGACGATGGGATCACTACACGATCATATTCTCACCTACAAGGCCGACTTTGACATTCTCGACACCAAAAACAGTCTCGAAGTAAGCGAGCTCGTTCTAGTTAATACGAGCCAGCCTTGGTATCCAGAGCTTGGCTCCTTTGAGCAGATGCAGCTGCAAAAGTCTACGATGACGGACGAGCAACAGTTCAACTGGCAACCGAACAACGCCGCAATGTACTGTATTGTGAACCCCAACGCCACAAACGCGTGGGGAGAAAAGCGCGGCTACCGAATAGTCCCCGGGAAGTCCAACATCCATCTCACGCCGCTCAATTCTCCCTGGACGAAGCATCAGACGCCGTTTGCTAAATCACACCTGGCGCTCTCGAGACAGCATGATACCGAACCGTACGCGAACAGTCACTCCAATGTCAACTTGCCTCTGAAGCCCCAGCAAGACTTCATGAAGTTCTTTGATGGCGAGAGTGTCGAGAACGAGGACATCGTTCTTTGGTTCAATTTGGGCATGCATCACTTCACCAGGTCCGAGGATATTCCCGTCACGCTTTATAGCGAGGCTGTGAGCAGCATTGTCTTTGCGCCGCAGAACTTCAATGATAGGGCGCAAGACGGCGATTTGCAGAATAGGAGATGGATCGTTGTGAACGAGACGACTGGTGAACTTGAGTCTGACACTTATGGGGTTGAGCTGCCTTCCGAGTGCGAAGTGGGCTTCTCTGAGCCTGTATTTGGGATCAAGAAGAACGAGGAAGCTTGAAGCATTGGCAGATGACTTTGGGTTACAGGAGTAGAAGACGACAAGGACAGTGAGCACTGTAGTAGTAACCAGAGCCACATCATCTTAATCGACAGTTTGTGTTCCCAATTTCTGTTAGTCTTTACCTCGGATTCGGCTGTTGCATATGATTAATCGCGAAAGAGAAACTAGCACATGTATCTGTCCTCAGAGCAAAGAAATGGAGTCATTACAACTTTGCTGCCCGTGTCTGGTAATGGAGGACTAGGATTACGTATTGTTCTCCCCAACTTTCTTGTCCATCACTGGTCGTAGAATCTTGTAAAAGACAGCCCACAAGAACACAGAGACAAGAGGGAAGACACCCATCAGGTAAAGCGCAAAGCTGTAGCCCCTGACCTGCGCCACCCACCCAGCCAACGAGTGCGAAATAGCGGCACCAGTCTGTCGAGTGATGCCACCGACAATGCTCATCGTGACATTAACATGCCCAGTACCAGCCATCATAACGGCTAGCAACCCCGGGATTGCTACGCTCTGAATACCTGCGCCAATGCCATCGAGAATCTGAACTGGCCACACGCCCCAGCCCTTCATAACACGGCCTGCGACAGCGGCGCGGACGGGCAAGACGCAGTAGGAGAGCAGGACAGCTGACCAGTAGCCGTAACGACCGGATGCCCAGGCAGACAGGATTGAGACGATGACCATTGTGCCCTGGGCTATGATGACGGTTAGGCCCGTGGTTCCGGCAGGGTCCCCCTCGCCTGCGGCCACCAAGGCCTGGCCGTAGAGAAACAGAATTGCAGCGTTGCCGAGGTGGAACATGAATATTGTGATGGCGACAATACCGAGAGGCCAGTTGTTTTGAAAGATCTTGATCCAGCTGTAAGTGAACTTGGGCTTCAGACTCAATCGACGGAAGCTGGCCTTAGGACTGGCAATCGGAGTCTGAGGAGGTGGCATGTCGCCCCTTTCTGCGGAATCATGGATGTCTACCTCCCCTCTCTCTTGCGTTCGATGGGCATTACCCGCGCTGTGGTCAGGAGCAGGCCCTCCTCTTGCTGCTGCATGATCGACTGCTCTCTCCGGTAGGAGGAAGACACTTGCTATCGTTGTGGCGCAGAATGCCATGACGAGGTAGAAGACTGCGTTCAAGCCGAATTTCGACCCCAAAAGGCCAGCTAGACCGGCGCTGACCATGTTGCCCGCGTGGTTAGCTGCCTGATTTCGTCCGTTTAGTACGCGGAAGCTGTGTTTGCTCTTCTTGTTCTGTGTATTGCTACCCTCTTGGTCAGGGGAGCAGATGCCCAGTGTGAGCGCCACGAGAAGAGGCATCATGCTTGTGCCTGCGACGGCAGACACAATCTGGGTGGAAAAGACGAGGGCCGGATGTGTGGAGATAAGGTTGAGTCCTTGAGAAACACCCACGAGGAGGGCGCAGCCGGCGACAAGAAATCGCTTGTACCTAGCGGCCTCAAGTATCAGCTACCTCGTGACAATATCGGATTATGGTATTTGATGAGTCCGTGGGAGGCAAGAACACTTACTTCGTTGCGTCTATAAGCGCACCGATCGGCCCCGTTGCGATGATGGTAGCAACACCGCCAGCGGTACTCACCATACCACGCAGCCCAGGTTCCCATCCACGTTGTTGTAGATAAACGCCAAGAAATGGACCGAGCCCATCCGCAACATCTCCCATGAAGAAGGACATGACAAAGAGGGCCCAGCGTGCCCGTCTTTTCAACTTCTCATCTTCCACCTGGGTCGGGTCAGGGCCTGACTGCGCATCTTCTTCGTCTAGTATGTTAACATTGGAGATGGTAGGTGGCGGAGATGCCGATGCGATGATCGGTATGTCCTTCTTGGCGTCAACATTCCCATCCGCGTTGGGCTCGGTTGGGTGCAGCGACTCAAGGCTAATGTCGTTGCGCGGGCTGGGCTGTGAATCCTTGGCGTCCATTGTCTTTCACCGTGAAGGGGTGACAGATACTCCCCTGCGTCCTTGAGCCTCAAAGTACTGGGTGGACTTTCGTTATAAGAAGCTCCGTCCGATCTATCGAGATAAACCGGTCAAACTGACACAGACAGAGGTTCCTACGTCAACGACGGGGCCATCCCCGAATGGATGCGCACAACTGTGCCAAATATAGACACTTGCTCAAACCTTCTTTACTCAACCTACCTTGATTCGGAGCTGCCTTCGTCTTGACAAGCTTTCAGTTGGCGGTAGACAAGGTTGGGTGCTACGTTATCTTGAAACGAGCAAACACACAAAACAGCTTTACAGCGAACATTGCATCTTCACCCCGCTTCTCACTGGCGCGAGACCTTAGGGAATTGTATGAATCGGCTGAACTATAAGGGAGCATGATGTCGGCTCGGCATTGGCGGCTGAATGGCGCTTTAATACCACTTTCTTTAACCATGTAGGCTGTTGTAAAGTACTAAGTAAGTATGCGACAATTAGCAGACTTCAATGATTGCCACGCGGTGAAATCTTATAAACAGTACACGCTATATCAGACAGACTCAATTAGATTTTGAGGCTGAAGTTTGATATTCAGAGCTTCTTCATGACTATCTCACAGAGACAAGGGACTTTGCACCGATGCGCGGTACCTCGCAAACCACAGGATCTTGATTAGTTGGGTAGGATGCCACGTAGAGATATAGAGTCTATCCTCTTCAAGTACGATACTCATGCCGAACTCGTGAGTCAATTGGATTGAACGAGAGTTTCAACCCTCCGGAGGTACTGGGACTTTCATCTTTCGGCTGCTTCCCCCATACCTCTTTAGCGAAGTCTCGTATGTCCCCCACCAATCCGTCTGGTTGCTGTAGAGCAGCAAGATGACCTGCGTCATTGCGTTCTGCGGTCTCTGTTAGTTGAACATCGGGAACTACACTTCCAGAGGCATATCGATGAATCAAACCTCTGTAAAAGACCAGGTTCCCATTCTGCTCGACTGATTGCTTCACTGCTCTTTTGGAGGCTTCATCCGCATCCCAGGAAAAGGAGGTGAACCCAAATGGCACTTTGATTCGGTTGTCTTCGTCTGTCGGATGATCCGAGAACTTTTCGTAAGTCGGAGGATCGTAGCATGGCATGATCGAGGACATGATACATCCGGTGAAAAAGTACAGAGACGCGGTGGTCAGAATGGCCTTGGTCCACAAGGAATTGTCCCAGGGCTCTGAGTGACAGACGACCTGGTATTTTTCAAGAACCCACATGAGTATTCCCATAGGATTATCTTGTAACCCCAGGCCAATTGTATGAGGCTATACAACAAAATCAGTCAGTTCCATATTACCCTTTGTCGACATGACTTTGGATGATCTTACTTTGGTTCTCCCGGTGACGTCAAATCCCCCATGGCGCTGTGCCCAGTCCTCACGTTTGCGGAAAGCTTTCTTCTCGCCTTCAGTGAGTTGGATATCATCTGGCAGAGGAATGAGAGCATAGTTGCAGTGAAGAAGCTTGCAGGAGTCGGTATACTTTGCACCAAGCTCACGGCCCACAGCATGGACCAAATCGCCGCACTGAACCATGTACTCCTTGTATCCAAGGCTCTTCATGAGCGTGTCAAAAACGCGTGCGTTGTCTTGAAGCTTCCAGTGACCCTGCTTTGGGGAAGATGACCAACAGAAACCTGGCATGCTTGGTACCACGACGTGAAAGGATGGATCGTTGAGGTTGTTGCGATCAGATAACGGACGCCACACTCTACTGTATTCCCAGAACGTCCCAGGCCAGCCATGGATAGCAAGCAGGGGAATCGCCTCTGGATTCTGCGATCGAACGTGGACGAAGTGGATTGTAAGATCTTCAATCGTTGCCAAGTAATGCGGCACCTCATTCATTTCGTTTTGAGCCTCGTACCAGTCAAAGTCATTGATCCAACGACTTTGGAGGTTTGCCGCCGTTGAGTACTCATCCCCTAGGTAGATTTAGCCACGCAACTCAACAGATCTTCAAAGCAACAAACCATAATTCCGGTCAGCATCACGGGACTCAGGACAACTCGAGAGTCTAAAGTCTTCGAGTTTACTCCGCAAGCGCTCAACCTCTTCGCGTGCGATGTCGACACTAAACTCCTTGATATCACACATTCTTAGGGATTTTCGAAGTTTCGACTTAACGACCAAGCCAATGAATGTTCGTGAACATCAGAACATCAGCGACTTTCTGTTGAAAGTGAGAATTCCGCACATGATAATCGGATGAACTGAGATAAATGATGTAATCATAGCCGAGGCTCTGTAGTGCCAACAGCTTTGACTCGTCTCGAAACACTGCGCCCAGACCATGAGCTCGGTTGCACATATGATCTCATTTTCGCTGTACAGTGCACATGCAGAGGACGAAACACTTGACACACAAAAGCTAGAAAGCACGGTGAGCTACTTGTTGGAGATATTCCCGGGCGATAATGCAGGATTGCCTCGAGCTAATGAAGTACGCTGAAAGAAATCTATTTCCTGGGCCGATTAAACTAAGACTCGTAACTAATCAGACCATCCATGGTTCCCGCATGGAGTCCACCAGTGATGGGTATATCCGCCGCCGTTGTGTGCCGCGCAGCATCACTGAGGAGGTAGACGACGGCACCAGTAAGGTCGTTTTGCGTGCTAAGTCTCTGGTTGGGCGGCGCGAGCCACATCTGCTCTCCCTCCCGCTTACTCTTTGATGCCCGTACGTTTCTTGTCATTTCTGAGTCGACGAACCCGGGAGAGATGGTGTTCACGCGGATGTTGTGGGGTGCAAGCTCGACGGCCAGGGCCTTGGAGAGCATAAAGACGGCTCCCTTGGAGGCATTGTATGCCGCCATGCGGTAGCCGGGGAGAGCTATGTGCGCGGACTGGGAGGCTAGAAGGACCATGCTGCCCCCGGAGCCTTGCTTCAACATCTGCTTGGCTGCAAGTTGAGCGACGAAGAATGTTCCACGAACCTGTTTATATGTGAGTATGATCTTCTGCGGGGTAACAAAACGGGAATAACTCACATTAATTTCCTGGATACGGTTGAACTCGGCCCATGTTTGATCGAGGAATGGCTTATCTATGGCAATGCCTGCCGCCGGCACACAGCCGTTGATGGATCCAAATTCCGCAATCACTTTGTCGAAAGCGGCTTGGATGCTCTCTTGTGACGTGACGTCCGTCTTGATATAAACAGTTTTCGTGCCAAACTTCTCAGAGAGTGTGTTAAACTCATCGACTGGCTTATCCTGGATATCAAACACTGCTACATTTCCGCCCATCTCGCAAATAGCGCGAGTGCATGCAAAACCGATGCCCTGAGCTCCGCCCGTAACGATGTAGTTACGGCCGCGGAGCTCAAACATGGGCCGCACGTCGTCGAGGTGGTCGGAAGGCATGATGAACTGATTGAAGAGAGATTGCGATTGGTAAATGAGTATGATGGCAGATGATTCAGAGCTGATGCAAAATAATCAGTTGATTTGGTCATGAATGATGAGAATAGTCCCTGTTGTTCCTTTATCGTGACTCCCGGCGAGGAGTGTGTGGCCCCGGGATTGGCTTCGGAAAGTGGGTCTCACCCCGGTTCCGTAGACTTCGGAACCTCCGAAGCTCATCGGTCCCTATTCGTGCTGGCGCGCCGGATCCATACCCCGACTCTTTGTCGGCCTGTTTAGGATACTATTTGGCGACGCTTGATATGACTTACCCTGAATTCGGTTATCGCTACTTGATTGATGTTTGTCTGGGTGTCTGAGTGTCACACTTCTGTCTAACCATTTGGTTGTTAATACCTACAGTATCTAGTACTTTGTATAATCGCAAGCAAGCATCTAGCTGTCTCAACCCCAACTAACATTTCGCCGAATCCTATCGCAGAGACAATGGCATCCAACGCACCTGGTGCTTGTTGCACTGTCGGCACACTCCACGAGTAAGATTATTCCTAGGTGCAGCAATAACAATCTTCGAATATCAGCTGATCTCCTCTCATTAGGGGTACTCCAACAGGGAAATCCGTTCAGATTGATGGGAAAATTGAGGCATACTTGGCCCTTCCCGCCGAAAAGGAGGCTTCGCAGCGAGCTGTCTTGTATCTTCCAGATATTATTGGAATATGGCAAAACAGCAAGCTCATGGCCGATGCATTTGCTCGCCAGGGCTACGCATGCCTCGTTCTCGATCTGTTCAATGGTGATCCGGCACCGTTAAACATGCCGGAGGATTTTGACATCATGAAGTGGCTGCAGGAGGGCACTGGCGGAAAGAACCCACACACCTCAGAGACAATTGACCCGATAGTCGTCTCCGGCATCAACTACCTAAAAGGCCTTGGTATTACGAAAATTGCAGCAGCAGGATATTGTTTCGGAGCCAAGGTTCGTTTTCATACCAATTTCACACTACTCAGTATGCTAATTCCGTTCCAAGTATGCCGTGCGTCATTACAAGAGCGGGATCCAATGCGGCTTCATCGCCCACCCGTCCTTTGTGGAAGCGGACGAGCTCGCCGCCATCACCGGACCATTATCGATTGCTGCGGCAGAGTTTGATGACATCTTCCCAACAGAGAAGCGACATGAAAGTGAAGCTATTCTGGCTCGAACGAAGCAGAACTACCAGATCAACCTGTTTTCTGGCGTTCACCATGGCTTTTCCGTTCGCGGTGACCCGAAGAACGAAAAGGAGAGGTTCGGAAAAGAACAAGCGTTTTATCAAGCGGTTACTTGGTTCAACAGATACTTTGAAGCGGTATGAGACTAAACGCATGGTCTCTACTTGTCAATGAGAAGATCTGGCTGTGCACTTTTGCTGTCCCACTCTTCTGAACTGGCTCTTATTATCAGTGAACTTGATGACCTATTGAAGGTTACAAATTACAGCCGTCCTGAGAGTATCTGTTTCTCACAACACATGCACTGATCCTAGCAGAAAGTTTGTTGCACTCAAAAGCGATTGCCATCGCCTAGACGCAAAGACCCTGGAAAGAAATGCCCCTCACGTAAAATTCCTCGGGCTCAAAGATCGCCTTTATGCAGTTTCTGAGCTCCGAGACCATACACTACCCCCCGTCCCCCCTGAGTCTGCTAGGGATGAGGTAAGGCAAGATTCGAGCAGATGTGTCTCCGAGATTTCATCAACGAAGGCTATAGCAAGTACTCGATTTTCCTCAGAACTTAGTTACCACCGAACTATATCGCTTACCCTCAAGATATTAGAACCGAAGTTTACCACTCCAGACTTTACATGCATGTGGTGACTGGAGAAATCATCAATGAATGTAGTACCCATCCCTATTCAATCCTTTGCTCCTTTCAGCGCCTTAATGGTCATATATGTATGCAACATGAATAAATAGGAACTTTTCACTGGCGACCTTCATAGTCTTTCGGCTAGGCAAGCCACATAAGCCATTGCAGGCGATCAAATGTCACTGTCGTAGTCTTATAGGCGAATTCATTTTACGGATCTTTCATGGGGCAATGGTGAAATTTAGCATCCTCCAGCATAATTCAGTCACTTCCACCAATTTGTGCGGTCAAACGTCGGGTTTCGACAATCGTGAATGTAAATGCTGACGGAACGATGATGTGACTGACGGAATGTCTCAGTAGCCCCTGTAAGGGAAGCACACACCTTACACATACCTCTGCTAGTCGTGTACCTGACAGTTGGATTAAGCCAGTAACATGCACGGGGCATACCGAGTGACCAGCCACCAAGTAAACTTGAAGTGTTCAGGGATGGGTTAGCCGCCCACGTGTTGCCATATTCTAGCCATGCTCAAGAGGTGGTTACAACAAAAATTTGTCAATGATATCTGCTAGGTACTTTATCTTCACAAAGATTGTTAGATTACTTTATAGGAGACCTCGATTGGGGGTACGATCTTAAAGTTTCCCCTCTGTCTGTAGTTCGACGAAGCTCTGCCCTATCCTACATTTGCCGACCCATGGATATCATTTTCTTGTCATCTTCTCATCATTAATAATAGAGCTCTTTGATATTTGCCGAAGGCATCTATGGCTCCGCCATTAGACAATATTGTCGTAAGACAAATTGCATCTCTGTCAATACTCTTCGCACTCGCGACTGGGATTTTCGGCCTTCGATTATTCACTCGGATTGTACATTCTATGACCTACCGACTATTGCTAGATGACTATTGCATCATTGTTGCATGGGTGAGCATCTCAAGCTCCTATCATGCGTCTTCTACTAATCTCAAAGCCAAGATACTGTTCGCTACTCAGCTGTTCCTCCGAGTCGCAGTGCTTAATGCCACGTCTCTAGTTCCTATCGTTCTGTTGGTCAAAAGGAACGCGGACATGAGCCATGTAGCTGGAGTCATGGCAAATATGGCATGGTCGCTTGCCAAGACATCATTCATCTTCACTCTCTTGCAGCTCGTCACTGGAAAACTGCGATGGCTACTGTGGTTCATCATGGTGACCATGAACGTTACTGTGGCGACATGGGTACCCTTATTCGAAAATCCATGTGGTCCTCGTTCTCATTTGCCGTGCATGACAGGTAGACAGGCACTCAACTTTGCTGTCTTTGCTTCCGGTATGCTTGAGTATGTCGCAGTTTTCGGGTCTACGAATCACACTCACAGCTCAATGTATCAGCTTATTCAGTCTTTTTGGACTTCCTCCTATCTTTATTGCCATGGAAGATCATATGGCCGCTGCACCTCAGCACAAAGGACAGAATTGGTATATGTGTGGCCATGAGCATGGGATTTGGGTAAGTTTCTTCTCTGCCATTATTGCGGCCTGTTTTCAATTTCTAATCATGAACGAAGTGCTGGAGCAACAGGAATTGTCAAGATACTCCATCTTTTCAGCTTCAATCCGTTGGATAATAGTAAGTTCCGCCTTTCGTGCGCTATGTTTTTGTAATATTCCTGTGTAATCTAACTACTCTGTAGATAAATTAGGGGGTCTTTTTATATGGGAAAGTGCTGAGATCGCAGCGACTATCATGGCCGCGTCAATCCCCGTGCTTCGGAAGCTCTCTCTCAGCCGCAGGAGACACAATATCGCGCCTAACATGCGGGAAAATCAAGAAGAAGTGATGAGGTCAAGCTTCAGACGACAGCTACGCATGGTCGGTCTCGGTAGTCAAGTTACAGAGAACACCAACACGACTCAAGCTGCTCCATCAACAATCCTTGGGTCAACTCAAGAGGAAGCGACTGTGGTTTGAATGGAAGCGCAAATTAGTATTAAGATTGAGGCTTGAGGTGGAATGACCCAAGCGAAAGGAAGCGTACAGAGAGATAATACTTTCTTGGCTTCTTTTTTGAGTCAAATGCATTTCTTGACTGATACCAGTCTGGAACCCAATCATTTCGAAAATGAGATCAGAGCTAATACCTAAATCCGCATATAACGGGGAAAGCTCTTTCAATTGCCTGAGCCCAACTGGTGTCTCGAGTTCCTTGGATATTGCATCTGCGATTTGCTGCTCAAAACCTTCATGTTTGGGCATTACTGTGTGTGTCATCATAGCTATGTCCGCGCATATGAGATTTCGCTCGGATTTCCCCCACGTACTTATGCATACGTGGTGAGAGTGTTCGTCGGCGGTCCCTTAATCGCCGTGTGGTTCGCTGGAAACTCTCCCTGGCAACGACAAGAAGCGTCATGATGTGTGTAAACGGTCGGCTGAACATTTGCTGCCGTCATTGCAGGGCAGATCTCGAAAAAGCAAGCATTCCCCACCGTGTGGGTCGTTCAGCTGCTCTTATAAATGCTTAACCTCGCTAACAGCTTCGTAGACGAGGCCTCCCCCATTGTGACAATAGTCATTATGGGTAAATTTGTTGTATTTTCGGACTTGTACTTCCGACGTATTTGTACAAGGTGGACAACAAGAAGAGTGACGATGAGATTGCATGTTGGGATGAAGTGCACTCTACCGCTGGAGCTGTGTCTCGTGAAAGGGCGACGAGAAGCGCACTTCAGGGATGGTTCATAGACGCCCGCGCTTCCCACGGACCAGGGGGGTTCGGGAAGCGAGCAATCGAGCCATTTGATTTCCAGCCCAACAGTGTCTACCACAAGCGGGGGACCCAGACTTGGTGCCATATCCAGATTGCTTACCTTATGTGTATCTCTTTAACCAAAGTTTATAAACACTAAAACCAGCGGCATTGGCGTTCATCTGGTAAGTTGCGGTATGGTTTATGTAGTCTCGAGAAAAGCCTTCCTACCCGCAGGGCGACAGAGCGGGTTGTGGTGGATGCTAAGCAGGCGTGGCAGGGACCACTCGGAAACACCTCACTGAAACCCCGGAAGCGGCATTCTGTCAGGACCAACAAGTCAGCATTGACGGATTTCATATGTGGCGCTTTGCTTACGAATTGTGGCAGACTTGTTCAGCTCTTGAACAGATCCGGCATGGTTCAAGGACTAGCCTTGAAGCAAGGAGTGCCGGGCGACACGGATCAAAACTTAGTGAAAGAGAATCATGGGGATTATCCCATCTTAACCAATCGTCAAAGCCCCGTTATCTCTTCCCCGCATTCTACATTTCTAGCGGGTAAGGGACCCTAGGCTAAACCCGTAGTTGTAGGAAGTCCCGCTTTGCCGCTATCAAGAGGAACATAGCCGACTGACAATCTGTCTGCTTATCTCTTCCCTCTCCTATTCGATTGTGTTGGTTCTCTTCCATCCCCCGGCATTTCTCTCTGAAGGAACCGCTTTTCCATCCTTTCGATCATTGTGCGGCCTGCATACTGGACGTCATCGTTTCACTTACTTGCGCAATATCCACCTGGAAACCAACTGCTCTCGATTACGTTTGAGGGTAAAGTACCCTGCGATGCCACGGAGCAAAGACACAATGGCGCAACCGAAAGAGAACCGCGTCGCAAAGAGGCCAAGCCCACAGAGCGGAGAGACGGGAAGACGACGAGCGCCATATGCACTGCGCGCTTGCGAGGCATGTCGCCGACGAAAGGGGAAATGCGACGGACGACAACCATGCAGGTACTGTGCAGGACGTAAGCAGACCTGCGTCTTCGACAGCATCTACGGCTCCGATGACGGCATGTGGTCCGTCCCGACAGCGACAGCTACCGATGATTCCCCTACCGAGTCCGATCAATCAAGGCGAGAGACTTCGTCAACGTCAAATAACCAGGACAACATCATGAAACTCTTATCAAGTCTCCAAGACCAATTGAACAGTCTCGCATCCCGCGTGCAGACTCCCAGCGAGGTGGCGAGCGCCATACAACCATCCCCGGCATTCACAATGGGCAACCAAACACCCGAAGATTTTCTTTCAGCCCTCATCACCGACGCTGGAGTCCTCGAAAACTGCCTTGAGTCAATCGGGCCGTCAACGTGCTCCCCGCCTCGGCAGCTGTACGGCCTGCCGAGCCCGGAGGAGACCATGAAGGTTGCCCGAACCCGCGTCCGCCGAGAGAGCCTATACCACACGCCGCCCGAACCAATGCAAGAAGAACCGATCAGCCTCGACTTTATTCCTACTGTGTCGGTCCATGACGATGCCATGTCGTTGGCGCAGAGCACGAGTTCTTTCAACCCACTTGTCACCGGGGCAAACGATTCCCAAAAGTTGTTGCGCTTCAAGTCTTTGATGAACATTGACGAAGTGGTCGAAATGCTTGGCGTTTACCAAGACGCTATCGGAAGTCTTCACCCGATTATCAACATCGACCAGACTATCGCCCATGCTCGGTTCTTCTATGCGGATGCAGACTCGACAAGTTGGGAGATAGTGACGGAAAAGTCGGACACGGCTTCCGAGGAAGATTTGATAATCTTGAATCTTGCCTTGGCTATTGCACTCCTCACAGAAGCGACGCCAGAAAGCTCCAATATCGAAGCGCTTATCGTAGAGGGTATGAAAGAGGCTGTCAACAGCAGAATCACCGAATCTAACACAAGTATGAAGCAAGTCATCATCATACTTCTCAAGGTTAGTTGCAGCCACTTTCCGTTTCGACTCCATCCAGCACTAACAAGACCGACCAATCAGGGCTGCTATGAATACTTCAATGATATGCCCCAGGTTGCATGGCGTATGTGTGGCATAGCTGGGCGCATGCTCATGGAGCTCGGAGTACACAACGAGGAAGCGTGGTCCCGTCTAGCAAGCTCACCGAGTCTACGTTCAGAACTCTGCACTCTGGTCTCCAGCATTATCATCCTGGACCGACAATGGAGTGCCGCAGCCAACCTGCCCTCCAACTTTCATGACTCCAGTTTCAGCCCTGTTAACCTTATCTCGGTAAGCTACATCGTTCTGATCATACTCCCAACCTGCATTAACACACGAAAAGGCCGATCATCCCTACATACAAGCAATGCTGTCCTTCATCCGCGTCAGCAATAAGCTGGAAGGGCCTATGGCACAAGCCACAAAGGCCCAGCGGTACGAAGACGAGGATAACTTTGAGCTCATGAACTTCCAGTTGGAGCAATGGCGCAAACGAGCTGTCGGCAACTACTCCATCACACACCCTGAGACATGGAGCCTAAGCCCTCCCAAGCAACCTTCCTCTTTCCCCATACTACTCCACCTGCGTGCGGAAACCGTCCGGAGTTTCCTCCTCAAGCCCTGGTTCTTTTCACGAACCGACACACAGACGAGCAAGAAATACCTACAGCCCGCAATCGAAGTCCTCTTTGATATCTGCGACGTTCTCTACGCCCTGAACGCCAACACAGACATCTACCGCAAGCAGCAGCCTTATTACCAAGAGCTATTGGCTTCAGCTTCCGCCCTTGGTTTCGTCTTGACGGCCTCCTTAGAGCAGAACCGTTCAACCTTGCTAGCTAGCCTACCCCCAGGACTGTCCAAGGCCATGGGCCGCAGCTACGAGCTGGCTGTGGCACTGGCAGCGAGTTATGTTACGAGGTCAAAGGCTGCAAGGCAATTGTCTGATCAGCTTGCAGAGGTGCGCGGGAGCCTTATGGGGTTTGGCATGATCGAGATGCCCGACCCTGCGGAGAAGGATGACGGCAGGAAGGACGGCGACGCACTTCCTGCATCGGACTTTATGTATGATGGGTCTTCTGGGTGGGACGATGAGTTCCAAATGCAGTGGCCAAATTGCGATCTCGAAAACAGTTTTGCTGAGGGCATAGTCTCTTAAGGGGGCTCTTGACGGTTGTACTTTTACCATCTATAATTACCATGCGATACGAGATGAATGACGATCAATGATAACATCGACGATTATTATTATCAGAGTCTACAAGGCATCCATCGGTATTTGAAGTCTCAAGCATCCAAAACGACATAGGTACCTAGACCCATGATGCTTGAATTATCTACAGGACTCAATCGGAGAACTAGTAGCTGCAATCTGAACCTCCACCGTATCCGTCATGAGTTTTCAATAGCTCCTTCATGTTTTCCGCACCTTGAAGCTAAACATCTGATTTGATACAACAGAGTTCCGATCCCTCATCTTTTCCGCGGTATCAATCCCTAGGACTGGCACGCGGTACTCAAAAGTTGCCCCATCCTCTTGGCCTTTGATCGGATAGGGGAAGGGAAGGTACTGCGGCATCAAACCAAGTTGAGCCAGGACGGTTCCCTGGTCCCATGAAATGTGCTCGTGGTACAATCTGTCGCCACGAATATTCACAACAGCAGTGAAGGGTATTTCCACCTTTTTGTACGTTGGCGGGATACCGGGGACACTGAGAGGCACCGAGGTGTTAGCTAATTTCGTCTCTGAGTATAATGCCCCTAATGAGTGATCACTCACAGCCAATCGACCACCGTGTCATGTGTGAACTTGTAGATGAACTCGTCCACAACCCGGTCAATACCGAGTGTGCGGCTGATGAGTTCTAACTCTGTGTCTTGAGAGTTATTGAAAATGAAGTTGTTGCGGTAGAATTGTGTCAATGGCCCTCGTCCGATGCCACCCGTCAGCTGAGCACGTGTTAGCTGTGAGGCATTTATGTTCTGGACCTCTCTCATGAGAGATCGATTTGACTTCGCTTACTGTGGGAACATGGTTCACGTATGGTTGATCAACCATGGTGCTCATGGTATGCTCAACAGAGCGGTCCGCGAACTCATAATATGTATGCTCATCCCAGATAGCCTCGAGATCGAAGTACGGCCCGCCAATAAGCGGCTTGAGAAATGTCAAATTTCTGGTGTGAGACAGAGACTCTGACCAGTAATCAAAATCTTCATGAAATGGCGTCGCAAGCCTGAGTGACTTAGCCTTTGCGTATCGATACGTGGTGATGCCCTCGGTCTTCTTTGCCTCAGGCGGTGCTTGGCCACCAGCAAGGTGACACAACATGGGGATCTTGGATTTCTTGAGGATACTTTCATCACTGGAATCTGCGTATACAACAGCTCCCACGATATCCGGGAAGATGCAAGCCACCCCAGCGATCTGATTCCATAACGTTGGGTCAAATGCTAGAAAGGGGCTCAGTTCGTGTAAACAATCTTTGCGATACCGAAGGCACAATCACTCAACAAACATACCGACGACTCCGACCTTGCTATCTTTCTCCAGCTTGCTGCAGTCCTTCAATGCTTTCAAAGCAGTCTGTAAGACATCTGTGGCAAGGCTTGGATTAGTCAACGCCTTGGCTTGGATCTCCACCACGACGAAACCCTCTTCCGCCCACTTGATGAGAGCAGAGGGGACTCCTTCAACAACTTCCAGGTGTTGCGTCGAATCATGTTGCAGTATAATGAGGCCCTTTCCATAGCCTCGGCGCGAGAGCGGCGGTAGCAACGTGATGCCCTCGCTGATGCACTGTGATTCAGCCTTTGGCAGTGGCGCAGGGGGCTTGCTGATATCCGCATACATTTTGAGAAAGTTTTGTTGTAGTGGTAACAGATTCAATAGTGTAGCTTGAAGAGCGATGTTTAGGGGTTGTCAGCTGCGAGTCTAGTCTATACGTTGAGTTCGGGGTTCAATCAAGGCACTCTAGCGACCAACACCGATAACCTGGGATGGACCATGCGTTGCGCTTGACGTTCCGATGGCATGGTCACACTTGATACGGAAACCTTGTTTTAGCGCATAGAGCACAGCTGACAAGGCCCTAGAGCTATGTTCCTTGTATCCGGTGTATCGCGGGGTGAGCTTCCGTTGGATGGTGTAGGAGCGTGCGTTCCGTTCCGTTCGGAAGTTCCGTGATAAGCACCAAGACGGCGACAACAATCCCCGGCAGGCACCACATTCGCTGTTACGCGCGCTTGGACTCGCTGAGCCACGTTACGGGGCAGACGATCATTGAGAACATGGGTAAGGGTACCTGTCATGAATTCTTCAGCGGTAGCCGCATTTCCAGATGGAGCAACGATGGGCCAACGGTGTCTTGATGCTTCGATGCGTGGCTGTAGTTGTGTCCTCGAGAATTGTTTGCGCGTGTAAACGCACGTATTTGATGAGATACTCGCTCATCAGTGTGCTTCAAAAACGTCTGCAATATTCAAGGAAGACATACTTGTGCATCTTTCGCGCATCGACGGGGCCTTGAGAGTTACCTTAGTCGTATCTCAGACGCCACGCAACGCAACCAACGCCTGATCATGACGGTCAAGGTCTCGAATCTGGAATGATTCCGCTGCCGCCTGATCCATATTTCGACAACCAATCTCTCGTAAGTGACATGATAGGCACAAGGGCTGACAGGCCCAATTTCGATAAGTTCCTAATGCGTGTTGGTGGTTCCGGAAGCACCACCGGAATCCATCCCCATACCCTGCCGCGGCGGCCTAACACTGACACAACCCCTGTCAACCAGCCATCAATCTGGGGTAACTCGACAGTAACTGGATATGGGCAGACAGCTTCGATATGTAAAGCTGGACTGGTCTCATGTACAGATGGGCTTTGATCTCTTCATGATTCATCGTTTTATATCTTGACTCTAAACTCGAAATCGAAGAGTCTTGCGCCACTCATTCACTCAAATTTCCTGTCCCTAGCTTCTCAGAGCTTCACGTTAGAAAGCCTTACAATGGAGGGTCCATTCGATGCAGTCGTCGTCGGTGCCGGTAAGTATAATTCAGGCCCACTTTGTCTTTCCCTTCTAGACTCTAGCCACTGACAATTCTCTCTTCTCAAGGCTGGTTCGGTCTCGCAGCCGCCAAGGCCTACTCACAACTCCACCCGACCGCGAACCTCGCTGTGCTAGAAGCTGCCGAGTCCTGCGGAGGAACATGGTCCAAGAACCGCCTCTACCCCGGCTTGAAGTCGAACAACATGATTGGGACCTACGAGTACCCTGACTTTCCCATGTCCGAGTCTGTATACGGCGTCAAGCCCAACAACCACGTCCCGGGCGCGGTTCTGCACCGCTACCTTACCGACTTCGCCAAGCATTTTGGCTTCTTCGATCGTATTCAGTTTAACACCGCTGTCAACTTGGTGGAGAGGAATGGCGAGAAAGGATGGCGACTTTCTGTTGCCTCACCGGCAGGAGAGCGTGTTATCCAGACCGAGAAGCTCATCCTGGCAACAGGATTGACTTCGACACCGAACCTTCCCACTTACTCAGGAGCTGAGACCTTCTCGGGCCCTCTATTCCATGCAAAGGACTTTTGCAAAAGGGCGTCCGAGCTCAAGGGGGTCAAGAACGCTGTGGTCGTAGGCGGAGCAAAGTCTGCCTTCGACGTTGCCTATGCCTTGGTACAGGATGGCGCGCAGGTAGACCTGATCGTCCGCCCCAATGGCCACGGCCCTGTTTGGATTGCGCCCCCCTTTGTCACGCCGTTTAAGAAGAGAATGGACCAGTTGCTGAACATCCGTTGGATGTCATGGTTCAGCCCGTGTCCTTGGGGTGGCGAAGACGGCTACTCAGGTGTGCGGCAATTCCTCCACGGAACCACTTTTGGTCGCTTCATTGTCGATTCGTTCTGGAAGGTGCTGAGCGGCGACGTCCTCTCGGCCAACGCGTACGACTCTCACCCTGAGCTTCAGAAGCTGAAGCCTTGGCACTCGGCGTTCTGGATTGGTAGCGGTCTCAGCATTCTGAACTACGACAGCAGTCTTTTCGATTTGGTCAAGGAGGGCAAGATTCGGGTTCACATTGACAACATCGATAGACTGGAGGGCAACAAGGTCTTCCTGTCTTCTGGCGAGCAACTCGAGACTGAGGCGATTGTTTGCTCCACCGGCTGGAAGAAGGAGTCGACCATCAAGTTCGCCGGTCTCAACGAGGAGAAGCTCGGCCTCAAATACTCTGCAACTGAGAAACGGGCTTTAGATCAAGAAGCGGACGCCAAAGTTCTTGACCTCTTCCCTCGGCTGGGAGATCAACCGAAACTGAGATTCACCCCTAAGGAAGCAAACCCCTTGCGTTACTACCGCTTCATGGTTCCCTCCACAATGGTGGGCTCTCGCGACCTCGCCTTTGCCGGTATGATTTCAACAGTCAGCACCTCAGTTTGCGCCACTATTCAAGGACACTGGATTGCTGCCTTCTTGGGTGGTCAGCTGGATCGTCTTCCCACGTCTGATCAGGAGATTACGGACGAGATCATGCTGCACACACAATGGGGCAAATGGCGTTACCCCTGCGGTTACGGTGCCGACCTTCCCGACTTTGTCTTTGAGGGCTTGCCATACGTCAACATGTTGATGAAGGATCTTGGAGTAGAGACACACCGCAAGTCAAGTCGCCTTCAGGAGCTTACGTCGCCCTACCTACCGGCTGACTTCCGTGGTTTGGTTGATGAGTGGAAGCAGGGTCACAGTGCCAGCGAATTCGAGATTGCCACACATAAGGTTGTTACCTCAGGGACGGATGAATGAGAGGACGCTTGAGAGTCGGCCTTCTTGTGGCTTTTATTTTGTAAATTCCTTTTGTTTTCGGGCATGTTGCGGACTACCAATTTACTTTGTCCCATTGTTTTCTCTTAGCCTAATTCAGGATCAACTCACTGTACTTTCTCGATAGCATAAAGAAGACCGAGAAACATACGTTGAGAAAAATTCAAGTAAGGTATTTCTGCCTGAGCCTCAATTTCATGAACTTTACGATAGGTCAATCCCCGAGACGGCGACTAGAATCTCACTTCGGGCAGGTGACTGCTTGGCGACTGACGCCCGGTATGATTCCAATTTAGTACGATCTTCGACCCAATGATTTGTAATGTTCCAACCCGACTCCAAGTCCTGTATTGCAATTAACCTGAACTTTCGGGTATGGTTGCTGTTGGCCTAGTTGTCTGCCGTCGTTCGATACTTCTTGGCTTCAATGGGGTTACCCGCGGAATCCGCGGAACGCATGGCCAAAATCGAATAACCGCCACAGACCCACGGGAAGCGCGTCGCGGGTTGACGGACTATTAACGGGACTCATTTGAAATCGGAGAAAGATTCATCAGCATACTTGAAATTTACATTAGATATCTCACGACAAACGGCATTCACATAACGTTATCAGCGATGACTGGAGGTGTTCACCATGGCAATCCCAGCATGATCTACTGAACTGGACTCTCCAATGCGCAGCGGATGGTGATCTTCATCTTTGAGAGCGAATCATTTCGCAAACCCCGCTGCAGTATCCCACCGGCGCTTATAAGTCGCGGAGGCTCGTCTGCCCAATCGGTACTATCGAGCTCTAAACCGTACTCGACAATCCTACAAACGCAAGTTTCTACCAACTACCAACGCTTATCAACATGCTCGTCTTAATCGCCGGAATATCTGGCAGCCTTGGTAGCCGTCTAGCAGTGGTTGCGAAGGAGCGCGGTCTCTCTGTCAGGGGCCTGGGACGTGATTCCTCAAAATTGAGTCCTGAGCTGGCCCAGAGTCTGGAGTCCTTCGTCACAAGTCGCAACTACTATGATATCCCAGCTCTAGATAAGGCCGTAGCCGGGGTCGATGCGATTATCTGCGCTTACAAACCGACACCTCTACTGGATCTCGACGGATGCCTCTTACTTCTCCGGGCTGCCGAGCGGGCAAACGTCAAGGTTTTTATGGCCTCCTCGTGGAACAATGACTGGACGAAGATCAAGTTCGGCGATTTCGAGCACTATGATGCTCATATTGCCTTTGAGCAACAGGCCGCCATGACAAGCTCCATCAAGCCGGTATATCTTTTCACAGGCACTTTTGCTGACCTCCTGTTTACGCCCTACGGACCGGGAGGTTTCGATACTTCTGGTGACGTCCCTCAAATGCGCTACTGGGGCGAGGGGAACAAGAAGTTGCATTCATGGACGGCACAAGACGACGTTGCTGCATGGACCATTGAGATCCTCATCAATGGAGACGGCGTTCGACAGGGCAAGGGAGGATTCTTCAGGATGCGCTCTGGAGTCAATACGATTGAGGAACTGGCGTTGGCATACGAGGAGGCGACGGGGACCTTTGTTGAGGTCAAGCGCCAAGGCACCCTGGGGATGCTTGCGGAAGAGATTGCGAGACTGCGTAAGGAGAAAGGCAGAGCTAGGAACTTTGAGTACCTCCCAGAGGTTGTCGCATTCTTGAGCGACCAGGGACTATTTGAGGTGCCGGCCAGTGAGATTGTGTCTTTGGGGCATGTTCGCAAGCCCACAACTCTGGAAGAACACCTCAAGATACGGTTCGGAATCTGATACAGAACTGGGCTGAGAACTAGTTCAGGCAGTAGATAGGCACTTGCAGAGCGATCACCTTTATCAAAAAATTCGGAAACAACGTCAGAAGTTGCAGACAGTCGCAGCTTTGGGACGTTTCGTAAAATACTGACTTGGTCAGATCCTGATAGGTATGATCAATTTTTCCTAGAATGCGAACTCGAGAATGTTAAAACACTAAGGTCTCTCTGTTCCATGCCCATTTCGAGAGGGAAATAAAGGTTGAAGCTGTTGTACATACTGTAAGTAAGGTATGTAAGCATGTACTATGAGAGCAAATGTTGCTTTCCTGTCTGGGTACTTAAGCTACCGGCCGCAAAGTAGGTAGGGTTCAAATCACTCGGAGTTCATCGCAAAGTTCCGCTTCCCCACCTCCGTGGGGAGACCGGCCAAGATCAGATTACTGTGGAAGAAAATGCTCGAGCTTGAGGTCAAAGCGATGGAAGCTAGTGTGGTTGGAGGACGTTGACTGATGGTGACAGGTCGGAGTCCGTGTTAGCTACACAGATGGTCCGGGCCTTCAAATCGATGTTCGAGCAGGCAAGGAGTTCACCATCGTCGACAAAGCCTTCAGCGGCTCTATTCATCACTTTTCGAGACCTTTGCCGCGCGATCCGCGTGGACTGGAGAAAGTATGCTGATACCAGACCGTCCCCCTTGCAGTCGCAACATCACATTGATGCGGCTGGCTTCATACTAATTCTGTTTGCCGTCCCAGCTCAACACAAAGATCAATGGCCCCTTGCAGGTCTTTTTGAGTATGCACGTTTGATGTTTCTCGACATCCCTTGACTGCATCCGTGAAACAATGTCCCATAGCACCCTGGCCGAGCCACTGCGAGACTTCAGACGATAGCATCGTATATAGCTTCAGCAAGCTCCGAAAGTCCTGAAGGTTGGACATGTGCTCCGGTAGATCAGCTGTGTTTCCAAGCACCCGTAATATTGACGATGACTTTCAAAGTGGCGGCTTTCATCTGGGCATTGGCTGCCTTTACAGGACTGTCCCATCAATCCCCAACACTGCACCGTCGCGACAAAGCCTCAGATCCGTTGAGCTTCAGTAAAGATGGCAACTTCAAGATCTCCATCTTCGAAGATCTTCATTTTGGAGAGAGTAAGTCTATGAAGGAGGCGCAGGAACAGCAGCCATCATACTGTGCTCTGCTCAATGCTGATACCGCATACTTGCAGACGCCTGGGAAGCATTCGGCCCTGCTGCAGATAAGAAAACTGTCGGTGTCATCACCAAGGTGCTAGATGATGCCAAGCCAGACTTGGTGGTACTAAACGGCGACCTCATCACTGGAGAAAATGCCTTTGCAGAAAACGCAACATTCGTGCTCGATCAGTTGGTGAAGCCAATAGTCGATCGGAGTATTCCCTGGGCTAGTACTTACGGTAACCACGACTATCAGCAAAATGTTACGGGGAGCGATATCATGGCGCGCGAGAAACAATGGCCAAATTCTCGAACGCAAAAGATGGTCAGCGACTCCAACGCTGGTGTATCCAATTATTACCTACCGGTTTATGCTTCCGACTGCACGAAAGACGATTGTACGCCGGAGCTGGTGTTATGGTTCTTTGACAGCAGAGGCGGCTACTATTTCATGCAGACTGGATCGAATGATGCAGCGAAGTTGGTGGGCCAGCCCAACTGGGTCGACGAAAGTGTCGTCAACTGGTTCAAGTCCACCAATTCGGATCTCAACAAGAAACACAACAAGAATATTCCGGGTGTCGCATTCGTTCACATCCCACCAAAGGCCTCGAGTGCCATCCAGTCGCAGGGCATCGACCCCGAGAAGAACCCTGGGATCAATGACGATTCTCCGCTGTCGTATCAAGCTCAAGGCTGGTGCAAAGATGGAAGTCAAAAAGAGTCCTGCGACTACGGCGGCCAAGATTCGGCATTCATGAAGGCGGTTGCTGATAGCCCGGGCATGATTGGAGTGTTCAGCGGTCACGACCATGGGAACAGTTGGTGCACTAAGTGGAAAGGCTCTGTCAGCGGTGTTTCTGTTGACGGAACGGGCGTCAACCTGTGTTTTGGTCAGCATACAGGCTATGGAGGATACGGAAATTGGATCCGAGGTTCGAGGCAATTGTCTTTCACCCGTGATAAACTGTCAAAGGGGGAGCTTGACACGTTTATTAGATTGGAGTCTGGAAACATTGTTGGATCGATTACTTTAAACTCCACTTACGGAGAAGATAAGTATCCCACAACTCCAGACGACAGGACATAAACTGGAATTCTGGGAACTGAGAAATTGCCGCTTTCCTTTCAAGCAAGTAGAAGTTTGGGATCGACATTATACCCTGAACCTGCACGTAATGGTAATAGAGTGATTTCATGATTGATGGTTTGTGCCCCCTAGCATCAATGCCTGGTCGACTTGGAGGTTGCTGGATCCTTATTCTTCTCTTCTTCAGTCTAAGCGGACCTAGAGTAGGAGAACTACTTCTTCCTGGTCTGAGGTGAGTAGTAACTTCACCAGCTATCGGCAGCTTTGGGCGCGGTCGCCCCCTTAGTTCGGTCGTGATGTAAGGAGTCCCTGCGTGCCTGCCAAGTACACATCGTGCACCCCATCGAAAGCGGAATGACATGCGGGGGAAAGTAAATTTGGGCTTATTTCCATTATTTCCACGTATCATAAGATTGGATCGAGAACAGAATTGGAGATGAGTTGAGCTTAAACGAGCACTCATTTTTTACGACTTTCCGCTCTCGATGGAATATACTCAACTACATCATTCCCGGACTGGCAAAACGACGATAGCATCAACAGGCAAAAGATTTTGACCAGCATGGGGGTCGAACCCACAATCTCCTGATTCCACGGTAATATCGTAGTCAGACGCCTTGCCATTGGGCCAACCGGCCAGACAATTGAGAACATCTCGGATGCTCGTCTGTGGGGCGGGAGAGCCAGTTTACGGTTTATCATCTAGAGCTAGGAGTGTCAGCGCTCTCCAACGCACAATCGCGCCTCTGAGTCTTTGCGACTCTGGTTGTTATTGTGAGAAAACTGCTCCACCTTGTTGTCAAGAGGATCCCCGTCACCGCCACGCCCCTGTTACATTCTACAACGCTACTGAGCCCGTTGGAAAAATAGCTGATGTCGGAGGCGAGCCGACCCCCTCATCACACCGACTGGTTGGTCCAAGAGAGTTTCGTAGCCGCCCAACGGCAAAAGTCTCATCACACCAACGTTCCGCACTTGGAAGTTGGAACCAACAAGAGCATTTCGAAACCAACAATAACAACAATGTTCTTCAAACCCCTGCTCTTAGAAAACGTGCACTAGTATCCGTGATTAGCGTTCAAAAACTAACCCATTCATAATGGACCCCTATGCCCATTCTCCCATGTGCCGCGGCCTTCCACCCCCCTTCCCTCCGCACCAGCTGCTCGGTTTTCCTACGCCACGCAGAACCCGACAGTTTGGTTCGCCCATCCTCGTCATTGACACCATCATATACGCTTCCTATGTTTTAAATTAGATGGACGCCGACGACGATCTTGATCTGCAAGATGAGGTAAGTCGTTAGGCTCGCTTTTGAAACTGTTCACCATGTTTGAAGTTCAATTCTGACAGCTGTAGGGGACAAATGCCGAGGAGGTGGACTCTGATCTCGACTCTGCGATTGAGGATATGGAGGTATGTCCACTACCACTTGAGTCGGGCATGTTCACTCTGTACATAACTAATGTCATCAGCCGCCCGCGCAGCCCGATCTTCTTTCAATAACGTCGGATATCTTCGAGTATCAGTTTGAGAACGGCAGATCATACCATTCGATGAGCGAAGGCAGTTGAGTCTGCCACCAGTTTGCTTCAATCACATGTGCTTCTGGCTAACAAATAACAGAATATGCGTATCCGAATGACGATGTAGCTACTGTTTCCCACTATTCTTACTGGCTTGAGACTCGTTAATCTGATTTGAGAGTGTAGCTAGAACTCATACGTTATGGTACGTGCTATCATTAGTTCCCTTCCTGCAACTTTGCTCACAGCAAGTAGATCTTCAACATCACCTGTGGTTGATCACACTCGATGGAGAATTAGCGACAAGTCCTGGCAGAGAGACCGCAAGGCGGGTTTTGGATCTGGGAACCGGAACCGGGATCTGGGCGATTGACTTTGGTGAGTAATGAACTTGTGACCGGTTCTCGCGCGTTTGCGGCGGTTTTCGCTGACTGTGAAACTAACTCTTTACTAGCCGATGCATATCCCGGCTCTGAGGTACAAGAACAATTCACAAGACCACGATTTCCCTTTGACTAAACTGTTTCCAGGTTATCGGTGTGGACCTGAGCGCGATTCAGCCAGATCTGTAAGCTTGGAGTCTCATTGCGTCTTTTACTTGCTCAGCTAATGGATATTATCTAGAGTCCCCGCCAACTGCAGTTTTGAGATAGATGATCTCGAGCTTGACTGGCCTTGGGAACAACCCTTTGACTACATCTTCAATCGGTCCTGTGCGGGCAGTTGGTCGGACTTTCGATCCATGATTCAAAGAGCATACGAGTAAGAGTTATGCCTCTCTAAGGCACAATCGCTTCACTTGCTGATACTGGTGTAGTCATTTGGAGCCCGGTGGCTACTTCGAGGTTCAAGACCTCGAGCTCCCGTCTTACTGTGACGATAGTTCCGTACCGCCGGACGCCGCTCTCTACCGCTGGCAACATGCGCTTGTGGATGCCTCAAATGAGGTGGGTCGGCCTATCAACTACGCTGTAGACTGTCTCGACGATCTTCACAACGTCGGCTTTGTCGAGATACACCACCAAATCTACAAATGGCCATTCAACAACTGGCCCGAAGACCCAAAACTCAAAGAAGCCGGTCGATGGAACTGCGCGAATCTAGATATGGGACTCGAGGCGTTCTCTTTGGGCCTCTTGACCAGGGTAAAGGGCTGGACGCGAGATGCCGTTGAGGAGTTGTGTGCAGAGGTCAAGAAGGAGGTGAAGGATACAAGGCTGCATGCCTACTGGAGGCAGTGAGTTGTCACTTCGAGTGACGTCCTTTATGCCCGAATACTAACCAGCCACAGACACGTCATTTATGCTAGAAAACCTCAGAATCCATCAATATAATGTCTCAGATCTGTAACAGCATGTTTACACCTTGGCACGTCTCAACGGAATGAAAGCTTCTGACAGGAGATCCCGTGGCTGCCCCGAAATTGGACCGCGCTGGAGGCATCTTGTTTGAAACAATTTTCTCGCGTCAGCGGGCTACCTGGTACATGGGGCAGTGAAGAAATGAATACAATACAAGGGCAGGCTATCGGCCTAGACACCAATACAATCAAGTGATGTAAGTGCCAAGATGGACGTCTTCAATTCAGTTGAAGAGCATGCGGGAAAAGAAACGGGCCGAGTGCGGTGCGAGGTCTGTTGAACGTGGCCAATATGGTTAAATGCGCCCATATGGCGTATACTTGATCGCGAAAGCTAACGTAGGTATGCTGCAGTAAGCACTGCCCAACCCCAAGAACGCCTTACAAAACGGCTCCTTACATACCGCGTCAAAGCCGTGTCTCAACCTGCCTGCGGAAGAAATTACCTCTGCAAACTTGTGTAACTAGACAAAGCCCTGCTGCCTGATCCAAGCCAGCCTTTCCGGCATGTTATCCTGCTATTTATACGAGACATCCCATCATAAAAAGAATCCGCGAATTACTGATAATACCTGTCCTGCTTTGGCGTCTCTGTCTGGCGCTACGTTTGATGGTGGATATTCAAAATGTCTCAATCAGGCTTTCTGCGCGTCCTTCGGTGGTCTTCCTGGGGCCAAGAGTTCTTCGCTATCTTTGTTGCCAGTCTTTTGTTCACGGTGATTTCCATCCTACTAGCCAAATTTGATGGTCAACCGGTGTTCGAGCGGAACGGCGTCACTTTAAACACGCTTGTTTCGATATGTTCTGTCACATCGAAAGCCGCTATTGCATTTGTGCTTTCAGTATGCTTGTCGCAATGGAAATGGATCCTGTTCGCTCGTTATGAGGGACCGCTCATCAATTTCGATCGATTGGACAGCGCTACACGTGGACCGCTGGGGAGTCTCAGAGTTGCAACCAGAACACGAGCGATGTGAGTGAAAGACACTCCCCCAAGGGTTATCAAACTCACATGGACTTGCCTATCTAGACCTATTGTCAAAGTTGGCGCAATTCTCACAATCTTAGCCTTCGGCCTCGATCCATTTTCTCAACAGCTCATCCATGTCAACCAAGGAATCATATTTGAAGACGGCAAAGCCGGCATATCCGCCTTGATTTCGCGATCCACATCATACCAACTTGGTGAAGTTTTTGATTCAAATACAACCACAGATATAACTGATTCAGCCACATCAAATTTGAGCACCAGCCTGCAGCCATCCATGGAGGGGGCGATCTCGAATGCTTTCTGGAAATCTTTGAATGAAGTTCATCAAGAAGTGCTGTTCCATTGCTCAACCTGGAACTGCAAATTCGATGCATTTGATACGCTCGCCATGTGCTCAAGATGCAACAACATCACCACCAATATTACGAAGGCCCAAGGCAATTTTGATGGCACCTTGAATGACATGCAAGGATATCGGACTGGTGCTCAGGACAACAGTAGTCTCTACACTTCCGCCTATAGCCTTCCTAATGGCCATTTTATCGCCAACACTGACGGCTGCCACCCATACAGAAAGTCTGACCGTGACTGCAACGGTGGCGGGTACCAAACAACTTCCTTTGCAACGGGCAACCCAAACAAGACGGTCTCCATGAAGAATGTCGACACACTTCTATGGGCAATGAGCCTCATACATCCAAATCTCAACCTGCCCCAAGGGCGAGGAGTCCCCAAAGGGCATAACGCTATCCAGAAAGCTCTTGGTGAAATGACTTGGCCTGAGGCTTCCGAGTCATTGCAGGCAACAGAGTGTGCAATCTACTTTTGCGCCAAGAGAATGTCCTCCGTTGTAGAAAACGGAAGGTTAAGGGAAGAGGCTATCGAGGTCGAGGGTACGGAAAGAGGTTTTAATTCATGGGAGTTTAGTCTACGACACACCCCTATGCCACCGCCCTGGGCTGCACCACCAGACGAAGAGCGAAGTCTTCAGTTTCATCCCAACTGGTCAGCCGGGCACCATAACCCTCTTTACATTCTCGGCCCCCCTCCCGAACTGTTCTCGGTTGCCGCGAACGCGATTAAGTCACTCAGCGCTCATTTCCAGCAACGTCTTATGTGGGCACCATGGCGAGACGATCCCAGAATACGTAAGGAATTGAGAAGAATCGAGGGTATGGAAAATGCGGTTGGTTTTAACGGCGCGATAGTAACATCTCACCAACCATATCCACACGATTTGGGTCGTCTGTTGCCTAATCCGAAGGATGGTTTTCAATCAGTTTCTGCTGTTTTTGAAGTGCTCGCAGAAAGCATGACGAACGAGATGCGGCGAGTATCTTCTGAAGAAGACATGGCTTCTCGCGGACTTCGCACAATGCGCCAGAAGGGGGTGGCCGGCACTGTTGTTGTGCAATACCAGGTCAACTGGCAGTGGATTGCAGTGCACGTCATTCTGTCATTGCTGACTTTCTTGTTCCTGTTGTTCACGATGATGAGGTCTGGCGAACATTCGGAAATACCGTTGTGGAAGAACAGTTCGCTAGGGACTCTTCGGCGTGGATACGACATGGGCGGGTTGTTGCCCAGTGGCATGGCGTCTGTTAAGGAACTTGAGAATGCTGCAAGGGAAATGTGCATATGCGGGGGGCATGAAGTTGACGGAGGGGTCACCTACGATGATTCCGCTGAGAGTGGCGGGCTTGAGGGAGCCAGAATGCCTCACAATCATCTGAAGACGGGAACCCTGCCCGCCCGGGTGTTTGACGCTACGTAGGTGTTGATATAACGAGGAGGTTGGTTAGTCTTACTTCTCATATTCCCCGAAATTCTAAGCAGCAAGGCACTATAGTATAGGTAGCAAAACATTCACGTGAAGGCGTGAAGAAAACGCTAAATGCAAGTGTCAAAAATACTGCACCTCATTTCTTCATTATGCCATGTTTCTTCCATGGTCACCGTGACAGCGCTCGTGTGCTACGTCTTGCTCCAATATGCAAAGTTTGTCATTCAGTGCTGCAAAATTAGCCTCGAGTGAGTCGAGTCCGGCGTAGGTAGCGTCAAAGAAAACCAAAGTCCCAATATTAACTGAGACATCAAGCTGTCATGGCGTAAAACATATCAAAGACTGCATACACAGTCTAGATCAATGTAGCATTGCATTTTGTGCATCGTGGGAAGTGTCTTGGCCGAGGGAACTTCTACTAGCGAGTTCTCCGAAAGTTGTAGCCATCTCTCGTCGTGAACATACTTTGACCAATAAGAGCGAGATTGAATAGGCGCGTGTGTTATCTAGTCGCCGTCCAGCCTATCTATGCGCATTAAGGTTACAATGTTACCTAATCACCATCTCGCAACTCTCTGCACCACGGCATGGCTGATGGAGCCAAAGATGCCTAATATGCATGCGGGTAACTGATTGGCCAACCATCTTTTGAAAGTAGAATGAAGCCCCTCGCTGGAAGACGTAGTCCTAAAGGAACCCATACACTTGCCATGGGTACTAGTGTGATGTGAGAATACCATTGTTGCTCAATGCGGTTCTTCCCGGAACATGTGATGCGTGGAGCCTCGGACTCAAGGATGGAGCATTTCTCGTGCTGTGGATCCACTCGTGGCCTGTAATTCTTAATCCTCTACCTAGTCTTCAGCTTGAGGTCTCCTTGTGGGTCTGAATGCGAGCTGGAGCGAGCGACTCGTCTAAGTCCTCGCTGTCAAGCTTGGGAGATGAATTAGTTGACAACTCAACTGCAGCATCATGGCCCAGGGCATATCGCCCGGCTGAGATGAGGCTATCGTTACTTCACAGAAGCGAATGTTACCTCGATCAAGCGAAGTGGGGAGAAGCCTCGCCTAGACTAGGCCATAGAGGTTTTGCCAGGAACTGGTGAGAGTTGCGAAGCTGAGGGATGAGAGGAGAAGAGTTCAAGAAGGTTCTTCGATCTGAACATAAAAGGACACGAATGGAACCTGTTTTTCAGATAGTGAGCCTACCAATAACTCAGAAACACCCTTCAACCTCGACTCCTCAGTCCACTCCATCAAAATCTTATATTTCAAGCACCAAACTAAATCCCTTGCAATGCATCCTCTTTCCATCGTCGCAGCCCTCGCTGCCACTTCAGCAGCCTTCAGAATCCCCGAGGGCGCAACCGACGGCACCTATCTAGCCTACCACGACGAGTCAGGCAATGAGGTCCACGTCAAAGACCCCAATCCCATCACCGTGGCCGGCCTTGCCTCGGCTGATACTGAGGCGCGAGCCGTGAAGAGACCTGGCCTCTCACGGGCCCGCCGCTCCCCAGCCCCAAGCGAGCTCTTCGAGCGCGCGGCCACCGTGTGGTGCGGCTGCGGCAACTTCTTGAACAACATCGACTGTGACCGCGTCGTCCAACAGATCAAGAACGACATCAACGCCGCGGGCGGCCAGTCCGATGTTGGACCCGGCCTTGCGTGGTACAAGATCAGCGGCAACGTCGTCGCGTTCCTTTGCGGCCGTGGGCCCGGTAGCGGTCGCATCTCTGAGGGTAGCTTCGCTGCGGGTCTTGCGACTATTACGAGCGCTTGTGGTTACTATGTCGCAGGAACCATCGAGAATGGCAACCTTGACATCGGCTACATGAACAATGACCCCAACGTTTGGTTCTGCGAGAGAGCCCGCTGGTCTACCAAGCATGAGTGCTAGTTCATTACGGGGCTTGCTTCGATCTTCTTGCACTCATGTGAAAGTCAATGTCGAATTTGATTGTTGGAATCAAGCGTTCTTGCGCAACGACGCACAGGAACCAACGATGAAGTTGATCATTCTCGGTGTGTGGGACTTGGCCGATGTTTGCAGAACCAGTATCATTCTTATTGCTTAGCAACGATTAAAGTTAACTCGATCATGGAAAGTACATATGAAACGATATTTGATCTGTCAATGAACTTGCCTATTTCGCATCATCGCCAGTTTCGTGCCATTTGTGACTTATAGAACTGATAGAGGGTGATTCTTAATATTCATGCAGGAGCCGGGGAGAATGTAGCAGTGCATGAGTCGTTACTGGTTTCTATGTTTCTATGATTAAGTATAAAATACAAGTTCGAATGTCAAAAATACAGTACAAGTAGTAAAGTTTTACAAGTGAAAGTATACCCTCTGCTCTCCCTTTGCTCAAGTCCCCTGATGTACATGAATTTCGCACAATATCTTACAGGACTCTATGAGGGTCAACCTCAATTCTTCTACTGAGGCCCATCAATAGCAGCTTGTGCAGCTCTCTTGACACGTCTCATCTTGACGCCGCCACGAGTGGACCAGTACTGGTTCAGCCTCGTCGTGACCTCATCAACATTATTGTAAGGATGAAGCGAGGCCATGAATTGCACTTTCTGCGTAATAGCATCAGCACTGAAAGCCGTAGCTGTGACCGGAACAGCTCTCCACCTGGCCTCCATTGGGTCGGCAAAGGAAGTCTCGTTGTACCCGAAATCGGCTAGGGCCGTCACGTTGAAAGCCGCCATCATCTCGTGGTCCTCATGGATGAGGTTATGGCAGTGGAACATGTACACGCCATCCCACGGGGCATAATGCGCCTCAACGCGGACTACCTCACCAGCGTCAAGCCAAACCACGTCCTTCAGGCCAGCAGCCTCATATGGAAGAACGGGTCTCTTCGCCTTGGTGCGGCTGAGGACGCGGAAGTCGACGAGGTGCACGTGGATGGGATGCGTCCAGCCGCCGCCGCCGTTCTCAAACTCCCAAATCTCGACCTTGCCGCGGGGCACGTTGGCGAGGATGCGGTTCTTGACGTCGCTGAAGCCGACACCGTTGATCTTCCAGCCGCCGCCCTGGCGGTGGAACAGGAACTTGCGGTCGACGCCGTTGCCCTGCGACGGCGGGAAGGGGACGTTGCGGAGGTTGGCGGGGACGACGGCATTGTCGACGACGGCGGGCTTGCTGACAACGAAGCGCATCACCTGGTTGGTGAAGCCGTAGTCCTTATCCTTACCTACGTCGTCCTGGTTGCGGAGCGTGATGTTTTGGCCCGCAAATTGGCTGAAATCAAAGACGACCTCCCAGCGCTCGGCCATGGAGATAGTTAGGGTGGAGGATGTGATGGGGCCCGTGAGAAGGCCTGCATCGGAGGCGATGACTTGGAAAGGAATGTTGGCGCCGCCGGTCTGGCGCTGGAAGTAAAGGATGAAGGATCGTGAGACAGCGGAGTTGAGGAAGCGGAGGCGGTACTTGCGGGGTTCGACCTTGAAGAAGGGCCAGGGCTGGCCGTTGACCTGGATAACGTCGCCCCAGAGGCTGTCGGTCTCGCCAGCGGGAGAGAAGAGAGAACCGTCGTTGTTGTATTGCTTGGATGACAAGACGAGAGGGATATCGTTTACGCCGTATCCGGTGGGAAGGCCGAGAGCATCCTCAGCGGGATCCTGGATGATGTAGGCACCAGCCTGACCAAAGTATGCGTTGACGGCAGTCTGACATTTGTGGTCAGCTAGATGAGACCAAGACAAGGCCTGGGAAACTTACGATATCCATGGCGTGGTCATGGTACCACAGGAAGCGTCCACTCTGGCTGTTGGGGTAGTAGTAGTCCTTGTACTGTCCAGGCAGGATGCGATCCTCCGCCCACCCGTCCCAAGGTGCCCTCTGACATGGCATTAGACAAGTGGCAAGATATGACGGGCATCGAGATACTTACAGAAGGCGAACCGTGGAGATGCACCGCACTCGGCAGAACAGCCTTGTTGGTGAATCTGACAACCGTCTCCCGTCCCCTGGGCACCAAGAAGGTAGGACCAGGAGAGATGCCATCGTAGCCCACAAGCGAGGCCGGTCCCTTGTTGGGATAGACCTGCTGCTTGAAGGGAACGATATCGACCTCATAGTAATCGATCTGCTTGTTTGTGACCGGATTCGTGATCGACCTGGGTTGTCATTAGTATGCCGGTTCAAGTTGTGGGGGCCGCATTTCTCACATCTTGGGCTGCTTCACCGGCGGAATCGGCAGAGGAAACTGGTAAAAGTACTTGTACTCGGGACTTAGCCAGTCCTTTGCAGATGACCCTTCAAAGAGGGCCATCGCCGCCACGAGGTGGGAAGCTCGGAAGAACATCTTGTCAAAAGAGTGAAGGGGAGGGAAGGGAATTCGACGCGAGGGAAGCTGGGTATCGTTTCAGAGACGAAGCTTGGCCTGGTGATCCAACATCGATAGGGTACCAGGTGATGATGGCTTATATATGCCATTGTAGTAACCAAGGTTTTGGCCCGTACCCGTATCCTATCGTGATGGAAGAAAAACACCCGAGTGGCGTCGCCTGGGCATCTAGGCTATCGCCGCCTTGTCGTCCATGGCCAAGACTGTCCGAACATACATAGGGGCGGAAGCCCAGATGTGCTCCCTGGGTTATGGCTCAGGCTTCGTGACTCGAGAGTGCACTCTTCTTTGCGCCGTAGGAAGAGAGTCTAGAACCTTAGAATAGCACTTCTCGCAGTGATCGGATGAACTGTGTAAGGTCAGCGCGTATAGGAAAAACGCAGCTACTCCTGCAGAAACTATGACATCCTCCCCCACTTTCCGCGGAGGGCCTCAAGATCTTCTTGCTCTATATTGCTGTGGGCGGAAAGGATCAAGCATCGCCAAGTCGATTGACGGAGTGCGCATGGGGTGACCCGAAGAATTGGTTTGGCTGCGAGGCTCCCGAACCCGCGCATGCGTTTGCAAGCTGCACATTCGGCTATCGTAAGTCAGTGCCAACTGTGCCATTAAGGGGGCATCATCGAAAATAGCGGAAATCGCAGAGTCCGGTGTTCTTGGCATCTGGAGATGACCCCCATCCCCCATGGAGACCGCCTTCAAGATATCCACAGCCAGGCCAGCACGCACCCTCAGCGCGGTATCGAACAGAACACAAGTAGGCCGCAATGCAAGTGCATAGCATCTATGCTGCTGGTTGTTAAGGTCAAGAGGTGCAGGCTGCTGTAGCAACATGGACTGCCAAGACGCGCCGGCAGGAAAGTGTGTTTCCCCACGGACATGAAAATGGCAATGGTCAACAATTCCCCTTTTCGACATTTGCGTTCGAGGTTACACGAATGGGTTCGGGAATTGTTTGGAAAACCTGTGAATAGCTGGCAATAACCCCTTCGCAACAATTTCCTCGGTGGCAGCTAATGTCAATCGCGAGGTTTATCTGCCGCCGGCATACCATCTCCCCCGTTCAGTTGGAGGATGACGGACGCCTCTTGGTGATCTCTCCGAGTGGCGCTTCAAGCTAGTGACGGTTCTCGATGAAGACCATCCGAAGGCCCGGACGCGCCCCCCTGAAACTGACGCTCTAGCTCGGATAGATAGACTCGGGGCTGACAGCTAGCTCATGTTGTGCAAGGCTCGTGAGCCACGTATCGATTCTGACTTCCCACGCAGATCCGATCTTAGGCTGGCGTGATGGATGGTGACAGATCATTCGATATATGCTTTTCTTCAGGCGGCAGCGAATTGTGTCCAACTCCGGGCTCCGGTGAAGGCGAAGAGGTCAAGGAACAGGAGAGCCTCGCGCTGAACAACATTGTCGGACTTGGCCGGGGTGAAGGCCGGTGCTTGGACCCACTTACGCTCCGTGCCGATCCCGTGTGTAATTCACGACTCCAAACTTTCTCCAAGCCCTCGAGAACACTACAAATACCACGACATCAACCAGGCAAACATGGCATGATTAAATAATGCAAAAAGCAAAATGAAGGGGCTCAACCGGGGATCGAACCCGGGGCCTCTCGCAGAGTAGACAGATGTCAGAACCCAAAGCGAGAATCATACCTCTAGACCATTGAGCCAGTGTTGCGAGATGTTTGCATCTCGGAATGGGGCTGCCGACTTCCGAGAGGTTTGCCAACTAAGTAGTCTGGCCGACAAGCTGGAAATGATTTTTGTTTTCGTCACCATCAACTTCATGACAGCCAGATACAGACTTTGATTTGGTTCATGACAGCACAATTTGCAACCAAGGACGATTGGATAGGTAAGGTACTTACAACATCGCGAGATGGCAAGTTGTACTAGCGCAGAGTGCCACGCCTAACAACCAACAAAGGTTCTGACTAAAGAAGGGACCGTCTTTGATGAGCCGAATCATGTGGCCGGTGCTTCAACAAGACGACACCGCCTTTGACGGCAACCGACGTCACCGTAGTTGACTCCATATGCCGCCGCGTTGCAAACGACCGAGTGCCGGCAGCAGACCGGGATCCTATCTCTCTGTCTCTATTGGAACGTCACGACTTTGTTAAAACATCTAGAATCAGGAATCTTCCCATATCCCTGTACTTTAGGAAGGGTTCGATCCTTCGTGAGATTTGATGACGGCTGACTGAGGACCATCGCAGTCGTTGACGCCGAGACGTGCTCCGGTCGTCAGAGCCGCATGAACTCAATGCCAAGAGAAGAATAAAACAGCCGTGAAGCGCGCAACTTTAATACTCTTACCACCGAAAGACAAGGAAGCGTGACCTCCATTGATCCCCGACAAACGGGGCCGCGCCGGTTCCCCATCGTGGATCCCGCCCGCCGAGGACCGATACCCGCGCCACCCAGCCTCTTCCGGGACGGCTATCGGCCGGTGACAAAAAAAGGGACAACCATCACTCACCGTCGACAGCACTTTGCGGGCGTGCCAACGCGTTATCATTCGCATCATCCACGTCGGCGACACAAGTCAAGTCTTGCTCCACCGTTCATGTTCGTGATCCACATCTAGGGCACTAGCCTCTAGGCCATCATCTTTGGTCCCCGAGAGAGTCTAGTCAACGCCGGCATCGTGGGAACGAGACCCGCCCTCCCCACGAAATCTCTGCCACTGCCGTGATGGCTTGTTGAGGATGCTGACTAGATGGCCGAGAATCTAAGTTCCTTCCCTCCAGGTTTTCCTCTCATGTCTTGCATCGCGTCAGTGTCATGTTATGATGTTAGTCAACATGGAAGTGCCCGGGACGAGCAAAGAACCAGACCTGGCCTAGATGCTGAATGTACATCACTCGAAGAATACTCGAGGAAACTTGTTCTAGATCGCCGTGTCAAGGCCCCATAACGTAAGGATTATCTTCCCCGGTCTGCTGCCAAGCTAGCTTCCCCCTTGTCCGACCTTCGATAAGTCTCGGGCGCCAAGGCGGCTGGCGGTGCGGCTTCTTGCAAAGCGGTCGGTCTTTGCCTCTCGAGACAGCCGTTGTCTCTGTCCTATAACCAGCCCATGCATTCTTTCAGTCCATACTTAGGTACACTGTCTTCGCTCGGCCCTTTCCATCTGAACGGTGACGATCTTTGCTCCCTCTACATCGAGTGACAGCTATCAACGACTTGACATCTAGTCTTTTGAAACGACATTGGAAACTATCACCCATACCTTCAGATTAACCCAAGTACTCAATTTCCAATAGACTCAATCATATTTGTAGCCAACATGGCGGCCAGCAAGGCTGGTGCGTTTCTCGCAAAGATTCTCGGTATCGATCTCGAAGCCAGCACCCGCCACCAGACACAAGAACTCCACAACCACGTTGTCGACGCCATTTCGCCATACGAACCATACTATGAAGAGGATCCCACAGTAAAGGAGTGGCTGTTAGAGCAAGTACCAACAAAAGAAGGATCAGCTCGTTACGTGAAAAGCTTGTTCCCCTTTACGAAATGGATTCTGAGATACAACACTCGCTGGCTCATCTCAGATGCTATTGCGGGTAAGCATTTCCGGGGTTCCAAGCCAGGCAACTTGGCGGCATCAACTAACAATATCTTACTCAGGTGTCACGCTTGGTCTTGTCGTCATTCCACAAGCCATGGCCTACGCCCTCCTCGCCCGCCTAAGTCCTGAGTATGGACTTTATACATCATTCACCGGCGCAGCTCTTTACTGGATATTTGGGACCTCAAAGGATATTGCGATAGGAGTAAGATACCGAAAGTGCTACGGCCTCATAACAATTTCATGCTAACTCGATAATAGGCCACCGCCGTCGTCTCCCTCCTCGTCGGAAAAGTCAGCGCCAAAGTCCTCGAAGAACACCCAGGCGAATTCCAACCAGAAGAAATCTCCAAAACCCTCGCCTTCCTAGCCGGCGCCGTCCTCCTCATCTTCGGCCTTCTCCGCCTCGACTGGATCATCGAGTTCATCCCCCACGTTGCCATCTCCGCATTCGTCACCGGCGCCGCCATCACAATCACACTCAGCCAGATCCCATCCCTCCTCGGCATCGACGGCGTCAACTCCAAAGAGGCCGCTTATCGCGTCTTCATCAACACGGCTCGTGGTCTGCCCCGCGTCAAGCTCGATGCCGCCATTGGGCTGACGGCTCTGGTGCTGTTGGCTGCCATCAAGTGGTACACGGAGCGGATGGCCAAGTCGCAGCCTAAGCGGAAGCGCATGTGGGAGATGCTCTGCTCGCTGCGCATGACTTTCACTATCTTGCTGTACACACTCATCAGCTTCTTGGTGAACCGCGGACTGGAGAACGGGGAGCACAAGTTCCGTATAACAGGGACACTGCCCAAAGGCTTCACACACGCTGGCCCGCCTTCTTTGAACACCAAGCTGATCTCGGCACTGCTGCCAGATCTACCGGCCACGGTCATCATTCTTGTGATTGAGCACATTGCCATCGGCAAGTCGTTTGGTCGCATCAACAACTATACTGTCCAGCCATCTCAGGAACTCATCTCAATCGGATGCACCAACCTATTCGGCCCCTTCTTAGGCGCATACTCTTCGACAGGCTCCTTCGGCGGCACCGCAATTCTCTCAAAAGCCGGAGTGAGGACACCAATGGCCGGCGTCTTCAACGGAGCAATTCTCCTTCTCGCACTATACGCTCTCACCTCAGTACTCTACTACATCCCCATGGCTAGCCTAGCAGCTCTCATCATCCACGCCGTGATCAATCTCATAACCTCTCCAGACCACATCTTCAAGTCATGGCTCATGTCACCGCCCGACGTCTTCATCTACTTCATCGGCGTATTCGTCTCCATCTTCACCAGCCTCGAAGATGGCATCTACGTCACAGTAGCCCTCTCCGCAGCCCTCCTCCTCCTCCGTCTCGCCCGCTCCAAAGGCCGTTTCCTCGGCGCCACGCGCGTCTACCAGCATCCAGACCACCACACCAGCGCCACCCCCGACCACAAAGACTCGGACCGCCACTCCATCAGCAGCTCGCAGACCCTCTCCCACCACAAGGCGCCTCCGTCGCCGCGTCTCCCGGCATCACACGACGTGTTCCTCCCGCTAGATCGCAAAGACGGCACTAACCCAGCCGTCCAAGTCAATGAACTCTACCCGGGGGTCTTCATCTACCGCTTCACCGAGGGCTTCAACTACCTGAACCAAGCGCAGTATGTCGACCGCTTGATCGAGCACGTCACGCACTCCACCCGCCGCACAACGACACCACACTACGACCACCCAGGCGACCGCCCATGGAACGAACCCGTGCCGCCGCCCTCGACAGTTGAAACCGATAACGAGTCCCCATCACTGCTGAAGCCGATTCTCCGGGCCGTCATATTCGACTGCGCTGCTGTGAACAACATGGACTCGGGCGCCGTAGAGGGCTTGATCGACCTGCGGAACCAACTCGATAGGTGGGCGGCACCCGAGCCGGTGGAGTGGCACTTTGCTGGTGTTCACAACCGGTGGACGCGGCGCGCGCTGTCAGTGTCTGGGTTTGGGTGTCCGAGGACGGGTCACTTGGAGGGTTGGGAGCCGGTTTTCAGTCTGGCTGATTTGGCGGGGCGGCCGCCGATGATGATGTGCGAGCAGCAGGTTGTTACGACGAGATCGAAGTCGACGTGTGTAGCCAGTGACTCTGAACAGTCTTCTTCTTCATCGGCCATGGAGCAGGGTGTTCTGGGGTCTAAGGAGGGAGGGATTCGACACCTCAGGGCTGTTGGTGCTATCAACAGGCCGTTCTTCCATCTCAATCTACCTGTGGCGGTTGAAAGTGCCGTCAAGAGTGCGAGACGGAGAGATCATCGACCACAGCCTTGAAACATAAGCGGTTATAAGCTTGCATCAAAAGATTGTATGTGTGGTTATACTCGTTCGGGAAATATAGTGTGATACTCTTGTTTTTGAATGATGTTAGAATAGATACTCCATTAGCATGTTAGTTTAATAGGCGAACAGAACTTACTTGGCCATTTGACATTATTATTATCTCAACCTCATTTGACTTGCTTTGAGACATGTAAATTATCACTCCGCTCAAGTCGGAACAGCTCTATCGCTGTAACCGCGCAACCATTGTTTCAAAATACCTGACATACAGGATGAGGAGAACCCAGACCATTGCCTCATCAGGTCGCATTTCTAATAATCTAAATATTTAAAATCTTCTGCGCATTCTCTATCGAATGTCTGACCGCCAGGTCGATCAAACCACAGTTGTAAAGACCTGCATCTTCCCCTCGGTTTCCCACTTGGCCTCGATGCCGGGAGCAACAAAGTAAATATGACCAGCCTTAACGTCAAATTTCTTCCCGTCCGCCTCCAGAACTCCCTCACCGTCGGTGACGATAGCAACCGAGGGTCCTTCGCCCGCCTTCAGAACTTCCGTCTTGCTACCCTCGTCCAGATCCGTCTTCAACATGTCAAACTCGCTCAACGGCGGCGGATACACAACCGTACGTCCTTGTGCGCCGCGAGAGCTCTTCTCCGCAGGCAAAAGCACGTCGTTCTTGCTATGCGCCTTGAAAGTCAACGTCTTGCTGAACAAATCAATGTTGTTCCTGTCACCGGGCGGACAGAAGCCCGTATTGAGGACGTTGTTCGAACGAGCCATGCACTCCACAATGTCCCCAGACAGATAAGCATGAATGCCGTCGGCAGGGATATACAATGCATCGCCAGCTTCCAGCGACAAGAAATTCATACACAGCAGCGCAACTAGAATGCCGTTGTCGCCTTTACCAAACTGGCCCTGCAGACGCGGCAGAAGATCCAGCACATAGCCGTTCCCGCCCAGCTCCTCGCGCGGGGTGCCGCCGAGAGCCTTTGAGGCCTTTTCGACAGTGTCTTCATCGGCGAGCAGAATGCGCCGCGTAACCTCCCGCAGAGTCTCGTCGGTCCATCTAGTCGTCTCATCGGGGATCAGGTCGCGCAAGGCAGGGATGTTGAACACGGGCGAGATCTGGTCCAAAGGCTTGAACCCGGCAAAAACCTCAAACGGACCCAGTGCTACAGCAATCTCGGGCTTGTGATTGGCGTCGGTGAAGTTCTCGGGGTCCTGCTCATGGAGCTTGCTTGCGAGAGACTTGTTTGGGTGGATCTGGAGGGGTAGGGCTTTTGCAATGGAGAGGATCTTGGGGAGGTAGGGGAGCTGGCCGTCGAGCTCGGTGATGACTTTTTTGCCGAGGAGCTGTTCCTTGTTCTTGTCTAGGACGTCCTTGAGCAGCTCGCCTGTCTCGAGGACGCGTGCGGGAAAGTCGGGGTAGTCGCCGAACCACATTTCTGAGTAGGCCTCATTGTCGTTGATTGTGAAGCCGCTTGGGGTATTTTCGCAGAGGCGTGCGGCGAGCGAGTCGCGACCCTTTTTGCCCCAGTCGTAGTTGTTGCATGTGCCGCTTAGCTGGAAAACTGAGCTTTGTGAACTCATGGTAGCTGGTTTGTGAGTCTTTTCTCTCTTCTATTATTCTCTGAAGAGCTTCTGTTTCTCTTCTCTTCTCCAAGGTACTTGAGGTATGTATCTAGCGTAGCGTTCTTCGGTTGATGATCAGGGGTATCTTGTCTATAAGTTTAGGTCTAATTGATGAGAGCGACGGTCTTTTTCTTTGAATCTTATACAACGTGCATTCAGATATCACACGAGAAGTTGATGGTTTGTAATTCGGATATTGGGTGACCGGCTAGTGACGTCGGAAAGATTGACGCAACAAAATCGTCATAGAAGTCTTGGAGCCGTCCGACGCCCGGTCCCACTTTGCTGTGTCTCGGCGGGCCGTGGCGAACTCGAAGCCGGACCTGCAGCTCCGGTCAACGGTGTGGCAGCGGCAACTTCGGAGAAGCTGACCTATCTTGACTGATCAAGGCTAGAATCGCGATCTCTGGCAATGCTTACTTAGCTTGGTCCACCATCCCACATGCATAGTCCGATGTGTGATGTTAGGCCTGATGGTTGTAAGAGGTCTGACTTTACACCTAAACAATAGTCAATACACGAACTCTGGAAATCACCACAAAACGTTAAGATAGCTTTAGTTGCAGCTCAACGTCTAATACATGTAATATTTCAATTGGCTAAAAGCTAAACCCATGCATAGAGCTCTGATAAGGAGCATATGTGGATCTTTTATGTAAGCCATCGTCCAAGGTACTCGTTCGTCAAATGATCATGTCAGTAGCTATCACTAGGCGACATTCGGCACATATCAGCTCGTACTCGATTAACGTTATCACCCCATCTCATTGAATTAGGTATAGAACAGTAAAGACAGGTATTCCCTCACATTACCAACAAAACGCTACGCCATTTTTGAATTACCACTCTATTTTCTTCACTCATCACACAGAATCTCAAAAAATTCGGACAACTCAGCAAACCCAAGCCCAGACCCAGGACCATCAGGCCGACGGATCATTGCGGGACTTTCTTCCACCTTGAGGCCATCGCCAGACCGATCAGGCCGGCCATCCTTCTCAGGCTGATTTTCGCCCTCGTCGCCCTTCCTAGACGAATACGACGAAGACTTGCCTTTCGACCTGTTCTTGCCCTTGCCCTTGCCTTTGCCTGTGCCCTTTGCGTCATCACTCTGTTTAGAGTCATCACCGGCGCCTTTGGGGCGGTCTAGGTTATCAGAGTCCCCTTTCCCACCAGCAGCGGCATGGAAGACAGACTCCTCAGCACCCAAGGAGAAGTTACGTGCGCCGGGAGGGACGGCCGCGCGCAATGTTGCGCGCGGCGTAGAGGTTGAGAGAGCGGCCATTGCGAGAGGCCTTGGCCTTGCTCGCCTTGTTGGCCTTACCGGCACCGGCAGCACCGCCGGTAGCAGCGCCGGCGTTGGCGGTCCCGTTGTTGGCAGCGCCCCCGGCCGCGGCATCCTCCTCGTCAGCAGCGTTGCCGTTGCCGGCGGCAGCATCTTCCTCATCAGCGGCGTTTCCGTTGTCTGCGGCGGCGTCCTCCTCGTCGGCGGCATTGCCAGCGTTACCGGCGTTGTTGTTGGCGTTGCCGGCATTCTTGTTCTTGCCGGCCTTTGCGTTTCCAGCTCCAGCGTTCGCGTTGCCTGCGTTGGCGTTTCCGTTGCCGGCAGCAGCATCCTCGTCATCAGCAGCAGCGTTGCCATTTCCAGCGGCGGCGTCTTCCTCATCGGCGGCGTTGCCTGCATTGCCAGCGGCAGCGTCCTCTTCGTCAGCCGCATTGCCAGCGTTGTTGTTGGCGTTGCCGGCATTGTTACCGGCGTTGTTGGCAGCGCCGTTGGCGGCGTTCTTGTTCTTACCAGCCTTGGCGTTACCGGCTCCAGCGTTGGCATTACCGGCGTTGTCGTTGCCAGCGTTGGCATCTCCAGCTGCGGCATCCTCCTCGGCGGCTGCGTTGCCTGCATTGTTGTTGTTGTTGTTGGCATTGCCCGCGTTGCCGGCGGCCGCGTCCTCCTCCTCGTCAGCGGCAGCACCGTTGCCAGCAGCAGCATTGCCAGCATTGTTGGCGTTGCCAGCGTTATTGGCAGCACCGTTACCGGCGTTCTTGTTCTTGCCAGCCTTGGCGTTGCCTGCTCCAGCATTGGCGTTACCGGCGTTCGCATTGCCGGCATTGCCATTGCCAGCAGCAGCGTCTTCTTCGTCATCCGCAGCAGCGCCGCCGTTGCCGGCAGCCGCATCCTCATCGTCTGCGGCCGCGTTTCCGTTGCCTGCGTTGGCGTTGCCGTTACCGGCAGCTGCATCTTCCTCATCGGCCGCAGCACCGCCGTTGCCAGCCGCAGCGTCTTCCTCGTCCGCCGCATTGCCGGCATTGTTCTGGTTGTTGGCGTTACCGCCGGCATTGCCGCCCTTGGCCTGGGCACCATTGCCCCCGGCACCGGCACCAGCAGCCTGCTGGCCACCGTTGCCGCCACCACCGCGCTTACGCTTGCTGGCTTGGGCTCCGGCCTCGAAGACGTTGATGACACCATCACCGTTGAGGTCGTCCGGGTCTCCGGCCGCGGCGGGGGTGCCGTTCGGGTTATTGCGGTCAAAGGTGGACTGGAGCTGCTGAATGAGTTCGCTGCCTCCGGCGCGGCGCTCGCGGCTGCGGGAGACTTCGGAGGCGGGCGCCGCGGCGACGACGCCGGCTAGGAGGGCGATGGCTGCTGTGGAGAACTTCATCTTTGGGTGTAGGGAGAAGAGAGAGATATGGTGGGAATGAAGAGAAATTGAGAATGGAAAAGAGAGTAAAGTACAGGTGAAAGAACGACTACTGCCCGAGTAGTGTTGAAGAGAATGAGACTGGCTCAAGGAAAAAGGAGAAGGAGAAGAGTGTGGTGGTGGATGGGATGAGGTGAGGGTGAAGAAGTAGAGTAATCATCATCACCAGCGGCCAAGAAGCCATGCTTTATATCCCATCTTGCCAGTTGTTTTCACCTCACAATTAAGGTCTGCCTACTCCATGTGTTCCCCCTGTCTTTGCGCCATCACCTGGTATTCTTGCGCTGAACTCCAGCCGCCCGTGGGCCACAATGTGACGGACCATGGAGTATGATGCCAATACCATCATCCCATGAGCCTCAGGGGAGAAGAACCCTCGTGAAACGAACCATCATTGGATCAACGGATCCGAGTCACCACTTCTCTAACCATGGCATGTGCCAGACTCTCGGAGCGGCCTCTCAGATCGACCCTGCCTCCAACGTCTAAACTCCCCGGCACCTCGCTGTAGTATGGAGAAGTGTCCGTCTAGGTGACAGGAAAATTGAAGCCCTTGTTGTTGATGGCGGAAAGGTTGTGGGTTGGTCTTGGCTGAAGTTGATGTTCACAGCTCCACCACGGAGATTTCTCCACAAAAGTTTCGCGGAGTCGCATTTCAGCAGTCTCAGGAGTTCGGTTTGTCTCAACATCCCTCCAGGAAAAGGTCTTGGCTAAGTCTTGGCTGAAGGGGCATTCTATTCCTCCAACTACCACGCCAAATACTCTTGGCAAATTTGCCCAGGTTGACAACGTCCATCTGAACTATGAGCAAAGACAGAAAAAGCTCAACACGCAATGCGCCAAGCCAACCTCCAAAACGTCCGTCTGGGGTTCCCCTTGGCTGTCAGACTGCCAACTCAAAGTTGTTAGGTGACGCTGAACCCAAGCTCTTCCAGCTCATCCGATGGGCAAATAAACGTCATGTGCCATCCGTAACTCGGGATGTCAGACTCCTGAAACATCACACCCCAGCACTCAACCTCACAACAGAGAAGAAAAAGGGGGTAAAGAGAGCACGGCCTAAGAGCAATCAGAATTTTTTAAACATTAACAGCAAATAAGCTCCAATATCACCATAGTAAGCTTGATTTACAGTGGACGGGGGGAACCACAACCCTGGGCCGGGGCGGCGGGGAGGAGGGAGGGGGCACGGAGGTCCAGCCAGCGGCTCGACTGATGTGATGGTGGATTGTGGGGGTTTGAGAACTATCCCGAGCGATCGACTCGAGTGTCCTTGACAGAGATGGAAGATTCCACCTCAAGTCCGGACCCAATCATCTTGGGCCGGGAGTTGAGTCGAGACCAGGCTCTTTGCCCGTCCCGGTTTCGGTCTCCGTTCTTTTTTGAGAGGCGGGCGGCAGATCACGTCGGGTTCTTGTCTTCCTCCCCGCCCCCGAGCAGAGGTGCGTCTATTCTTGTAATCTCCCTCGCATCTGCCGCTCGCTTTCTGTGGCTCTGGAACTCGTGATCGTCTGCGAAACCCGCGTTGATCACGTCTTGGTGCGGCATATGCTCATCATAGACCCATATTATGCCATTGAAGTCTGCGGTCGTGGTTAGGCTTGAGCAACATTGAAAGAATCGTTGATGAAGAGAAAATGTACGCATAAATCAATGACTTTATGCATTTATACTGCGTAAAGCAAGAAGATGAACCTAGAGGCCCTCGAACACTGGTCCCACCATACTGCGTAAGTATGAACAAGGTAAATATGTATTAAGGTACTACTTAGTATACATCATGAATGAAGAAAGGAGAAGTCGTAAGACATGCCAAGAGCACGTCACCACTGATGTCAAGCACCTCAAAAGCTGTAACACAGATCCCAAAGCGGCACCCGTGTACTGTAAAGCTCGCCGCTCCACCACTTCGTTGCGAAGCCAGTCAAGTTGAAGTAGAAGTCCGTCGCAAACTCGACCCCATTCTTCTCGGCGCAGATCAACCCGTCCTTGGGCACATCAACACTAACTTGTGTCACCTCGGCCGGCTTACTCGTAAAGTTACCGCCCCCGATTGTGCTGCTGCTGCTGCTGCTGCTGCCACCAACACTGCCGCTGACCCCCAGATTCTGCTCCCCGCGCAGCTTGAACACGTTGTCAAACCCCGGCGTCGCCGTGATGCCGGAGCTGAGATCGACCAGCCCGCCGAGCAACTTGAACGCCAGCTGCACGGTAACGTCCGCTGAAGCGTCGACGCGCACATCAGCTGACTCGGTGATGTTGGCGTAGCTGCTGTACTTTGGCTCCCACCCGCTCGCCGACGACTTCTCCCCGTGCAGGAGGTCGAGATGAACGTTACCTGCCGGCAGACTCACGCTCAGTCCCGCAGTGACGCCGACGGCAGCCGAGACGTCAAAGTCCAAGCCCACGGCGAAAGCCACGCCTGGACCGAGCTCGACGATGCCCGGGACGGAGACGAGAGAGTAGGACAACGCGTCCGGGGCGTACTTGAGCGCGTGGCTGTAGGAGGCGGCGACGTCGACTGAGACGCCGACGGCCGAGTCGAAGGTTGTGTCGAGGTCGAAGTACAGGGCCTGCAGCTTGAAGCCCCAGAAGTTGTACTTTAGGTAGCCCGAGAAGGTGATCTTGGAGCTGAACCAGGCCTCGTCGGCCGTGATGTTGACATACTG